CGAATAAACTAATGATATTCTTCATTTGATATTAATAGGTTTTGTAGTCCCATACAAGTATGATTAACAACAATTAGAGCCGTTGTTTAAGGTGTTTTCTAAATAATTTAAATCTAGATTATTCTTTGATTTCACACTAGGTTCTTGTGTAAAAAGATAGTAATCAGTTTTAATTTCTAGCTGACGAAAATGAATTATTGGTCAAGAAAATTCTAGCATCTTATATGATTCTAAGTTGTACTTATCTACACACTCTTATTAATATCAATAATATTATGGTTGGAAATCCGAATAATCTGTAACACTATATTAATACCATTAACGTTTGTTAATCATTAATATACTTGTACTTTTATTCACTGAGTATATTGTTGTAACAATTTGTAACAGAAATCATGTGTAAATATGTTTTGCTTCTTATAGCATTTCCCCACTCCATAATGTCAAGATTCCATCTAATCCAGATGTTCAATATCCAGCTTTATTGATTTTAACTGCAGATCATGATGATCGTGTTGTTCCGTTACATTCATTCAAGTTTATTGCTACTTTACAAGAAAAATTATGTCACAACTGTCGCCAAACAAACCCTATTCTGATTCGAATTGAGCCAAAGGCTGGACATGGACAAGGCAAACCAACATCAAAATCAGTAAGTTTACAAGCAAATAAATAATTCAATCAAGAATCGTTGAAGTAACAAAAATCTAGAATCTGGTTGCTAAGTCATACTGCCAACCGCATTGGGATAAGATGGTAGTAACGGATAACGAGTGTCTCCAGTGATCCTGGCTCCTCACAACAGAAGAGAAAAGCTTGTAAATCATGACCGTGCGGAGAATTAAAAGCTTGTCGCTAGCACGTCGTAAACTACTCACAAAAGGCTTTGACCGACTTTCAGTACTGTTTTAGACGTTTCAATTAGGCTCCCAAGTCGTCAAAACCATTACCAACCCAGCTTTTTCTATTATCCATTGAATTTCGCGAAATGTTATTCCCGGTATCTCGAAATGTCGCTCCAAACTACGTGAGTTTTCGATGTCTAGTCCTTGTGTCATATCAGACAAGCTTGTTGAGCTAAGACTCGAGAATCTCGAGCGATCGGCACACGTTGTTTCTCCTGAGCTCGCGTACAGAATTGAAGTGTGATCATTCACGTGATCCCGTCTGAAAATAAAAAAATCCAATACGGCCCACCCTTCGTATACCAGAAGACTTAACAACGACCACTCGTGATCTTGTAACAGACACTTTGAATGAGAGCTTCCTATAAAGATTACTGATGACAGTGCTTTTCTCTTTCCGATTAACAACTCAGAAAGACAGGTGAATCGCGTTGGCTTTTCGTCGTTTTATACCTACTCCGTCACCACGCTGAAAAATAGCTCGTTATGTTGGCGTCACAACCCACCAAGCAGACAACTAATCGTCTGTTGCATACTCAATCAACCGCTTGTTCTTGCCAAGTACCAAAGTATGGAGCAGGCTGCAAATGTTCGGTTAAAGGTGCCTTAATACCATTCCCCGCATGTTATACAACAAACGAGTGAGCAATGCTGAGGTTAGTTGTAAGATACTAGGCAAAGATGCTAAATCAATTGATGTTGTCAACTATCAGCAACTAAGACACCTGGGACATAAGTATGACCAACTACCGACAACCATAACGTAGAATAATGGCTGGACTGTAGTAAGTTTAAAGTGAGGCAGAGGCGCCCAAACCAAGCATTAATCCACGAAATCACAGACTACTGGACTATGTCGTGGTGGTAGGTCAAAAAATACCGAGTCAGAAGTCGGAGAAATTGGATAGCATGACTTAGAACCGGTTACAGTGGCACACATGCATTCACTTATCTTTCTGTGGATCTTGAGTTACAGTTCTATTTCATACGTAATTTTTCCGGAAACACACTCTCATTGTTCCGTGTTTTTCTTACTGCTGATACTTGCTATGTCTTGGTAATATCATTTCATCGTGCTGATGTGGTATGACTACTAGGGTTGACGCACATCTATGCCAGGCTTTATGTAGATTTTGATCGACTGGTTTATTATATGAAAATGGATGTCGGATGACCACAGTATTTTCGTTTAGCGATTTGTTCATCTACTTGAGGGCACTAGTTAAAACGTAAACTTAATTACTCCCTTGCGCTTCCACAGTTTATTTAAAACTCCAGATCTTAAGCGATATCTCAATACCCCTTACCCTATGTAAAATACAAAGAGGACCTGAATGGTAGGTGTTCTGACCAGTTTCGTTTGATAAAAAAACATTAGTTATTATCGAAATTTCACTGGTATGAATGCAACCAAAATGTGTCCAACCCGATGAAAACTCATGTTTAAGTCTTAGTTTGTATTTAAAAAGTTTGCTTGTCTGTCACCTTCACTGTTGTAGTAATAAGTATTATCAATCACATTTTATTCTTATTGTGCATATATTCTATTATATGCCAAAGTTACTGAAATATTTATAAATATGTATAGTAAACCATTTTTAGTACTCATTTATTGTACCTTGCATTTCTATGCATACCGTGATGATTTGCATTTCAGATTAACGAGGTAGTAGATATATACTCCTTCTTACAAACTGCAATGTCACTCACATGGAAAGAATAGTATGGATTGTTATCGCAATTACTAGTCTTTGAATTTTTGGTACCTAATAATCTCGTCGCTGTTGTCAATATCTATAGATTAATTTTACTAACTGCCCCCGATTTGATTTGTATGAAGATCGTCTGTGGTGCTTTGTTTATTTATTAACATTCTTGGCTTTCATATATATATTTCGTGTAACTAAACCAAACTTATACATTTGTTATGACGTATTAAAAAATATTTAATGATAATACCAATCGGTTGATTGACTGTTCATCTTTACGGTTTGATAGTTTGGTAGATTTCAACGGTGGCTTATAGTTTTTTCCTTGTAAAACGATATGTAATAATAAATAATACGAAACGTAACCGATGGTAAATAACAAACCGACATTATTTCCCTCATCACTAAAACAGACACTTATCCAGTTGGGATTGAAAGGCTTTATAGCCAATGCTACACTATTTGTTATATGTGCTTTGTTAGATTTCATGCTCACGTTTCACCTAAAGGTAACTGTTATAATAAACCAAATTTATTTTTAAAAATAATGAGCTCAGTGAAATCCAGGTATGCTGTGCATCCAATTATTAACCGAACAGCACATAAACGACTGTTACAGGGATCCACTCTAACAGTGCTTGTTCCGCCCTCGTACTCAGTGCTATGCCTACACCTGTCAGTCCACGAGAACTGGCCAGCAGGTCGCCAGATAAACAGAGGGTGTATCTCGTCGGCTCTCCGTTTTGGCGAGGTGAGGTCAAGTGAAAGACCACACCAGGATCCTGTATGCGTGTTTCGGAGATACAGCATACATCAATGGTACGAGATACTTGAGTTTCAGCCAACGAGGTCTACTGCCGATTTCACTGAGGGTGAGTACGTTTAAGGCTCTAATGTGTAGCGAGATTTCAGTAGACCTGGGACAGTGTTTTGCGCATTAGAATCGCTGGCCATGGTGACACTTGAGGAGGAAGCCAAAAGAGGAAGTTTAGTGTTGAAGGTCGATGTAAAAGAAATAACGGGAACTGAAGAAAGAGGTTGATTATGATTACAGTGGTCTTGAGTGCTGATAGAGATATGAGGGTAGTTATCACTTCCCGGTTGCTCACACCGTGGAAGGGTTCTTCTGCAGGTACCTAGAAAGTAAATTAGGTTAGGGGTGATCTTAGTGAATCTGAAAGCGTGACCACAGTACCCAAGGGACAGCTGGTTGAGGTCGGTCACACACGACCTTTGTGTGAGTTGTTGAAACCTTAACGCCGGAGATGGATATCCCTGGAACAAGGCGAGGTGTGCATTTATTAGTGTCGACCTTTTCTAACCCCACCCCTCCTTGTGGGAAGGCAGCATCACTGTCATGCTAGTTATCTGAGGGAAGGACCTTACTGCCGTCACACCTCTGTATAGTCAGCAGTATGACTTGACCCTCGGACCTTGGGTTTGCTGCTTTTAGTCTTACTGTTCTCCAACCGACCTTGAGGAACGACTGTTCCAGCTGGTATAGCTCTATCGGTTTATCACGATAGGCAAGCTCGACCACCACGTTAAAGTATCAACGGCTGCGAAACGTGGCCATTAAGAGTAGGAGATACTCGTAAGCTACTAGTATTTGACCATATATGATTTATAAATATTGCTCGCATTTGCTGGGATCATCGGGCAAGTAATAGCGAGGTTAGACACAGGGTATTGGGGAATGATGTTAAATCGGTTGTTGAAGTTGTGAATCTTCGTCGACCGAGATGGATGAACCAAATGTTAAGTATACCTGAACACATTACCACAACGTTCAATGCTGACTACTGTCGAGGATCGTTGGAAGAAAACCAAGGGAGTCCAAGCCAAAACGTGGCATCAGTGCTTGAAGTCAAACTTCTCATCTTAGCCATGTTGATAGATGAAGACTACTTAATTAGGGTCCGCGCGACTATCTTAACCAATGTTTGGAGACTGGGTGACATGGCTCAGAAATGATCACAATGGCGTAGGTGTATACACTGTCTTTCTTCCCTTAAACTATGAGATTAAAATTATTTCATATCTTTCTGTACTATATCCTTACATAAAATCTTTTCTTTATATATTACACCAATCAGTTAAGTGCTGTGAATCCAGTGTTCGTCTTGCTGTGCTAATGAGGTGTGGCAACTTGTACCGATGCGTGTATATGCCTGGTCCTACGTTGTAACTGACTAATTGCATCCAATCCTATTAAAAGGACTTTCTCGGATTAAAAACACTGGGGATAACTACATAACATGAGATATTTCACGAAAGATAAAGTCAGAATGAAAATCAAGTAATTTCAAAAAATAAGTGACAAAATTAGTTAAATTCAACAGCGAATGGTCAATGATTATGGTAACTTAAAATGAGCTTTTCAGTGTCAGTTATTAAAACGCCTACTGCTGCATTCGGGGACTGATTCGTTGTTTCTTACGTCAATAATCTTTTCGACACCTGAAAGTTTATCAGAACAATTGAGATTTTTCGTAATGATATGCGCAGCTTTTAATGGACGTGATAAAGGCATTGAAGCATGTACATCGGACACATGTAGTTCACTTTTACATGAAATCAGCTTTTTATATTCTTGCAAACATTCATTTTCTTCTGTACTGTTTAAAATAACATATCTTCGGTCATGTGATGGGGATGTAGATCCTGGTCGGTCTCGAAGATTTAGTTGTGCGCCTCCCTCAGAGATACAGTTGTCATCCACATCACAATCGGCTTCAACATCCTCGTCTATTTCATCTTCACTCTCACTATAGCATCCGAATGCTACTGAAGGGATTTCAAGTGGTTGACGATGCCTAATTCTAGTGTGAGCAGGAGATGATGAATGTCCAGTTGAGGGTGATAGAGCACTATTCCGAGGAAAAATTATAGAGCGGACAGCACGGGGTTCAGATGGTAAAGAATTCGAACGCAAATCAAACGTAGAAAATGATGGTGATGAAACTGAGTGTAGTGCTGCATGCCTTGGAGGGGTTGACACAGGCTGAAAAAGAGGAAAATCGTGATACTAAACTAGACACTAAACAACCAAAGATTAATTGGTTCAGGATGAATTAAATTTCGGCACTGAAACAGACATAGGACTTATAAACAACTGTGTGGTTAACAGGATATGACTGACCTGGGAAGTCACCACTGTTAAGGAGTTTTCTGCGAAATCTGTAGTTTTGGAAGTTGATAAGGTATGAGATCGAAGTCCAGATGTGTTGTCGCCTTGGAAATTTTTAGTGGGTGAATCTGATAAAACGGTGCATGAATGTGGATGCGGAATTCCAGCTTTTACTTCGTTATTTTTCGAGTCACATAAAACCACATAACCAGGATTGAAACCTCCAATACGAGAATTTGGTATGGTAGATGACAAACCGATTGAAGCTAGGCCTAACTTATTCATCCATTTTGATCGGTCGATTTCAGAATCAGAAGCGAACACAAAGCGAACCCAATCATTGAAAATTGAGAATGCACTAACATGAATGAAATATGAAAAACCACATGACATTACTGAGGGCTATTCAAATGAACTAACCCAAGTTATTCGTTTGAAACAGCTGTTATTTCCGCAAATCTAGGTTAACAGAGCTATGAAATTAGAACACCAGTGATCTTGAGTGCTGTTAGAGGTATGATGGCAGTCATCACTTCCCGGTTGCTCACACCGTGGAATGGTTCTTCTGGAGGTACCTGAAAAGTAAATCATGTTAGGGTGATCTTGGTGACCTGAAAGCGTGACCATGGTGCTTGAGGTCGGTCACACTTTTCTGTGTTAGCTCCGTAATTGTTGGGACCTTAACGCCGGAGATGGATATCCCTGGAACAAGGCGAGGTGTGCATTTATTAGTGTCGACCTTTTCTAACCCCACCCCTCCTTGTGGGAAGGCAGCATCACTGTCATGCTAGTTATCTGAGGGAAGGACCTTACTGCCGTCACACCTCTGTATAGTCAGCAGTATGACTTGACCCTCGGACCTTGGGTTTGCTGCTTTTAGTCTTACTGTTCTCCAACCGACCTTGAGGAACGACTGTTCCAGCTGGTATAGCTCTATCGGTTTATCACGATAGGCAAGCCCGACCACCACGTCAAGGTAGCAGCAGTGGTCAGGATCGGAACACCATAATAGTACTAGTTAGGTAAATCATATAACTACGGTTTGTGTGTTAATAATAATAGCAATTAGTAAGTAGATAGTTATGGTTAAATCAGTGTTTACATAAAAAGGAATCTCCGATACATGTATATGAATTTCTAACCTTTAAACTATTATGTAGTATTGTCGTGTGCACTACCTATTTAGACGGACATAAGCATTATGTAGCAGGAATTGGAAGTAGAATGTTACTAGGATGAAGATGTAAGGGACAACTGAAAAAAGATGTGCAAGTGATGTACTCAATGTATGATTTTCGTGTTTTACAAAGCTACTGTCTGATTTTGCATGAAACAAAAAATTAGTTTACCGTACCTGAATTTTCGCTTACTGGAGTATATCTGTAATCCAGAGTGCATTGATCATACATACAAGCCAACCGACATATAGAGAAATGTCTCGACTGCACACCATGACTGTGAAATGAACTTTAAAAGGGCAATATTACGTTGCACTGATGATTTAGAATCATCAATCTACAGCTTCGAGAAAGTGGAACGGGGATTTTTAAGGGTTGTTGCATCGTGTAACGAATGTTTTACTTAAATGTCTCTTCAACTTATAATTACTATGGTAAACCATGATATTCTTCGTACGTAAATTAACTATGAACGACTTTTTAAACTGGAAGCTCAGCAAGCCCATGGATTTGTGTTAGAAACTAGGAAGGACGATATACTGTAGCAATCGACTAGCGAATCTTAAGGCGAGAATACTGTGTAGTAGTCTCCTACAAATTTTGTAGTTGATGGGGTCTATATTGAGCACATCCTATAATTCTAACAGGTGCAATTGAAAGGACTTACAATTTTCCGATTTCGCTGAGACTGCAGGAGTGACTGTGAAACCATGCAACAGAATTAAACCTTCAGCTGAATCATCCTAAAATAAGGGAAACAAATATTTTCCTATTTTTAAAAAACAAGTTAGGACTTTACTTCAGGATTTCTGTAATAATAGAACGTTGAGTTTTTGTAAACACACCATCGCTTCACATATTTACTGGTAAGTGGGTTGGTTTTCTTCAACCAAAGCCAACCTTGACAATCTCCCTGTCCAAGATCCTTGCAGGATATACGACGAGCTATATGTAAAACATGAAATTAAAAATCCATAGAAAGCAGTGAAAACAGTGGACATAAAAAAAGTCAATGTACTGCTTTTGCGTAGCAAGACCCAAAAGTGTTATGCATGTTTACCATGCAGTTGGATTACCTTTCCACTTAAAATTTGTAAAAAATAATTTCTCTTTATCCACCAACGACTTCGGTTAAGTATAGGACAAATATTACCTTAAATGCACCACGGAACAACTTGTCAATGGTAAGGTTTCAATAAATAAGCTCAATTAAATTAGTGGAGTTTGATTGAAATCATGAACCGATCAATGATGGTCTAACATTGATCCGTCCATGATTTCATTGAAACTCAGCAATCTCTACAACACCATGCCGTAAATAAGTAGACTTCGAAATTTTCGATCTCCTGGGTACCGATACAAGGCAATGAGCTTGTAGTTAAATACCACAACCCTCTTTTCAATCTACGACCAGGTTCAATAGAGTAAATAAACCGACCAATCCACATAAAATTTTTAAATTGTACGGTACTTCTGATATTAGACAAGACAGAACATATTTAATGTTTTTAAAAATTGCTTGAATCAAAGTGAGTGGCTCGCATTCATCGTTTTTTGAGTAACATTAGTTGATAACCAGTTATTTTAATTAGTAAGCTACCCGCTGAAAAACGATTATGACAATTATAACTTTAAACAGAAACAATGTTAAAATGTCCGTGTAAGCAGTTTACGTATTAGTTTATTACACATGCTGGGATTTATTAATTTCGAAGCAGAAAAGGATTGGGATATTAGCAAAAGAAGGATAAGTAGAACTTACTTGGTTTTCTTGATCCAAATCCATGTTTTAAAAAAAGCATGAAATCATCAAGACTAGAACGATGAAGCTGTAAAAATAAAACACGCACAATATGACGTTGAGTGGGATACTTAAGGGTACATAATGATATAGTAATGTTATTATTTGAATTATTTTTTCTGGTTAGTGTTTTTTAGCGAGTTAGTTTTCTACGAGATGGGGTCGCTAACCACATGTCCAACCCTCCTCCTTTACGCGGACTTGGGGCGGCGGTAACTCTAGAAAAGCTACAGGCTCTCAACAACAGGTTCCAAGCCTTACAGGATCTATTGAAGGAAGGAGAAACTACTATGGAGGACAACTGGAAAGGCATCAAGGAAGCATTAACTTCAACGTGTCAAGAGGTTCTCGGTCTAAAGAAATACCATCATAAGGAATGGATCTCTATAGAAACACTGTACAGGATCAAAGAAAGGAAGAACAAGAAGGCAGCAATAAACAACAGCCGAACACGAGCAGAGAAAGTACAAGCACAAGCTGAATACATAGAAGCAAACAAACAAGTGAAGAGGATCATTAGAGCCGACAAGAAGAAATACGTGGAGTGCGCCATTATTATTTGAACACATATATTGGTACAGGAGTGCGCCAAATATATATGCGCCACACAATTTCAGTTCATTAATTGCGTGTAGGCTGCGATACTGCCCGGGTGCCCAGACCAAAGTAGGTGGTTATCTTATGGGGCCACTCTCCGAGCCTTTGACCTAAAAGTCTAACCCACAAGCCAGTGGAGCATCGCAAGGAGATGCAGTCCCATGGTAGCCGGTGACCGAAAATTGGTTTATACGCCATTTGTTCCCGCAGGATACTGGAGCCCATGTGCACCATAGATTTGGAATCCGGTTAAAGCGCCGGACATTCGCTTTTTGTCCTCTCATTTTCGTAAACAACACTCCCGCCACGAGAAGGCAGTGAGTAGGACTTCCCTGAAAGAGGCTGTATACGCGCGACCGTGTGAGAGTATTTCGAGAGGGAGGGAGAACTAGCAACGACGGCGGAAAAAGCTGCAAGAGAAGGAAATATGAAACAGCTTTACGATACAACGAAGAAACTAGAAGGGAAATATAGTAAACCAGAGAGACCGGTCAAAGACAAAGAAGGCAGACCAATCACTGAAATTCAACAACAGCGGAACAGATGGGTAGAGTACTTCGAGGAACCCAACTTCGAGATCAACAAGCTGGATTCCGTAAGGATCGGTCGTGCACAGACCAAATGGCGACACTACGGATCATCGTCGAACAATCAGTTGGGTGGAACTCGTCGCTGTACATCAACTTCATTGATTATGAAAAAGCATTTGACAGTGTAGATAGGAGGACATTATGGAAACTTCTTCGACACTACGGAGTTTCTGAGAAGATTGTCAACATCATCCGGAACCCATACGACGGACTACAGTGCAAGGTCGTGCATGGAGGACAGCTAATAGATGCATTTCAAGTAAGGACCGGAGTCAGACAAGGCTGTCTATTCTCTCCCTTCCACTTTCTTCTGGTAGTCGACTGGATTATGAAGACCTCGACATCTGAGAAAAAACACGGAATACAATGGACAGCTCAGAATCAATTAGACGATTCGGACTTCGCAGAGACCTAACCCTCCTGTCTCATACACATGAACAAATGCAGATAAAGACAGCCAGTGTAGCAGCAGTCTCTGCATCAGTAGACCTCAGCATACACAAGGGGAAAACCAAGGTCCTCAAATTCAAAGACGAGAACAGCAATCCAATCACTCTTGATGGCGAAACTCTGGAAGATGTAGAATCCTTCACATACCTGGGAAGCATCATCGATGAACAAGGAGGTTCAGATGCAGACGTAACTGCGAGGATTGGCAAAGCAGGGGTCTCATTCCTACAATTGAAGAACATATGGAACTCAAAACAACTTTCAACCAATATCAAAGTGAGAATCTTCAATATGAACGTCAAGACAGTCAGTTCTACTGTACGGAGCTGATACTTGGAGAACTACAACAACCACCGTCAAGAAGGTACAAGTATTTATGAATTGTTGTCTACGTAAGATACTCAACATCCATTTGCCGGATACCATCGGCAACAGCCTTTTCTGGGAGAGAACAAACCAGCTTCCAGCTGAAGAAATTAGGAAAAGACGATAGAAATAGATAGGACATACATTACGCAAATCATCAAACTGCATCACGAGGCAAGCCCTAACTTGGAATCCTGAAGGGAAGGGGAAAAGAGGAAGATCAAAGGGCACACTGTGCCGAGAATTGGAAGCAGACATGAATATGATGAATAGCAATTGGAAAAGACTGCCCAGGACAGAGTTGGATGGAGGATGCTGGTGAGCGGCCGACGCTCCTTTGTGAGGTGTAACAGGAGTATGTAAGTAAGTAATGTTATGATTATATCTTGAAACACTGACCAATACCACGTGCTAAAGTCACTAAACAGAATTTTATGCGTCTACTACATCTATAACTTAGCTTCTCTCACTTGACCAATTACACGCCCTACCATCACCTTACTTTGACCTGAAACAACTGAGTTCTTATTGGCAGTCAGTTCGCAGACTTCTCTTTACATCTGGTCTTGAGCTTGAAGAATTTAGCAATCAGCTTCTACTGTATTTATATTTCAAACAGATGTAGCTTTTATTACAGCCCTACCAGGTCGCAGTCACATCAAAAAATAAAAAATAACAACTATACAGGAACGAGCCATGAATGGCAATGAAAAAGCAAGTTGTAATTAACAGACCGGCAGGAAATTAGAGATAGTAGGTCGTATAATAGTAATTAATGAGTTAACTGAAAGCCTATAATAAATGGAACAATCCCATATTGCTTTTAGTCTAATATCTTATATCTCTAATCTATTTTTGTACAGTACGTATAGTGAGTCTTGTCAAGGAATTTACTTGTAAAACTTACGTTTCTATAGCGTTTATCCAGAGCATGAAACTTAGGAGATGAACTACTACAGTGACGAAGCGACGAAGGACTCGGTTTTTCTGAAATAACGTATCTGGGAAGATTTTAAAAAATATGTATAAAAGAAACATTATCACTATTAATTTGGGTTTGAATTTTAGAAAATTATGGACAAGACGTTTTTCTGAATTGACAGTATAGAGGCGAATACCAAGCTCCCAGCTGAAAAGCAATTTATTATTTTTGATGATTACACTGTAAAAGCCTACAAACTCAATACATCCACAATCTGATCAAAAAGTGTCCCGCTCTTCATAAGTCAATCAATCGAATGTTTCGAACAATCTGCAAAGCATGATGGAAGCCAATCGCTTGGACGCAAACGGCAGTAAACGTATTCCCCGATAGTTGTTGCATAAATGACATAGGACATTTCTAAAGATGGAGGCGATGGTCACTTCATTTTAGCATGTTAGAACACTCTCTAGTTGTCAGACCTTTCAAAACAACCCAATCAATTTTCCTACCAGTGGTTCGCCCCGTAATCTGAAGAGTCAATCATAAGTAGCCAAATGAGACCACTTGTTGACAATTAGACAAGTCCCAACGGATAAATGCACACCTTTGGCTAAGAGATGGATTGATTTGTTAAGGCGTAGAGATGTAATATATACGAATGAGTATTTATACGTGTCATTTGGTAACCCAATAGACTTTCTCTCCCACTTTTGTTTCCTCGCTCAAGTGTTCAGTTGAGGGTTTAGCGCGTAGCACGTTGTGTATCAGCATCAGATCTCGGATCACCTACGTCATGAAAATGAGTCGTCTGGGATTAGTGACTTGTGGTCTATGGTGCTTCAAGAGTTGGAGTTTCTTGAGCATTTTCTTCTAGTTGTATCGGTCGTAACCCGCCATGGAGTACAAGATAGTGGGATTGACAATGATGGGGCAACAGACTAGCTTGACTGTTTCTCGGAAACTGCCCACTGTGCAAGTCGTCGTTGGATGTTTTTAACTGGCATTTCATTAACTCACACTAGACTTCTTGCTGCCAGTGGTTCGGATGAGTCGAAATAGCTCTCTACATTTGCTAGAAGCTGCTGTTTTCAAATCTGGCACATTTTGACCACCAACTTTCTCGGTCTTCATGAAAATGTTTTAATAAATTCCCCAAACGGATCGATGTCAGCAAATTGGTTGCAGCTTCTGTTGCAACTAAATATCGAACCGAGCTAGGTTCAAGGCTACCTACCAGCCCATCAAAAAGTATAGAAGAGCACCGGCTGCATCTGAATGACACCGTAAAAATGGCGAGTAAGGTCGCTTGCAGCTTCGCGAAATGTTCCGCTTTTAAGCATCGGGTTTCTACAGGCTTCCTACAACTCATTGAAGTACGTCGGTCTACTCCGGGTGACCGTGAGTTTGACCATAAACGGAAATTCTTCGAGTTGGTTCTGTAACAACTTTCGGGGATAAGTCCACTTACGATTGCGTCCAAACTATTGGCTTCCGTTATGCTTCATAGATTGTTCAGAACTCGCGAGGAGCAGGCTGATTTCCGTTCTCGTCAAGGATGTATTGATCATATCTTCACCCTCCGCCGAAACGTTAGAACACCGTCACACGTATTAGAGGCCAATAATCGTAGTGTTTCTTGACATCAGGGCTGCCTTTGATTCGTGGACAGGACTGTTCTCTAGGACTGTCTATTGAAGAAGGGTGTGCCTGAGAAGTTTACCAACATCTTAAAAGCCCTATATACAAACACCTCAGGCAGAGTGAGGGCATAGAACCACCTCTCTCCACCGTTCCATTCAAGCACTGGGACTAAGCAGGGTTGCCCAACCTCACCATTCTTCTTCAACTTTGCCATCGATGACATTCTGGAAACAGCTCTGATGGATGTAAGTAATGGTGGTGTGGATCTGTCTCCTGGAGAAAGACTTCTCGACCTTGAGTATGCGGATGATATTGTCTTACTGTGCGATAATGCCCAAGCCATGCAATCCGCACTTAATCAGTTGGCAATTAGTATCCGTAGGTATGGTATGTGCTTTGCACCTCCGAAGTACAAAGTACTTCTACAAAACTGGCATTCATCCTGGGTAGTGAGCAGACAGAAGTAGTGAAGTTTGTGTATCTGGATAGCTGAGTAAGTGTTGGTGGTGGTGTGAGTGATGAGACCAATTCACGTACAGTGAAAGCCAGAGCGGTTTATGCCAATCTGGGCCATATTTGGCGCCTTCGTGATGTTAGTCTGGCTGTAAAAGGTGAGAGCAGTTTTGCTCTATACTTATGAAACCTGGCCTCTCCGAGTTGAGGGTGTTAGACGACTTTGTGCTTGATCATCGTTGTCTCCGAAGAATTGCAGACATTTAGTGGGAACACCATATTAGTAATGAAGAGTTTTGGCATCGAGTGTTTGGAGTTCACCCATGTACTTCAGCAGGAGAAGCAGTCTTTTATTGAGCCTCTTGAATAATGGCTGGTGAAGGCATGCTTTATTTGCGTCCACCGTTCTGATGTTAGAGATCACCAGTTTAGATAGTCTTTCCTCCGACCTAAAGTTTATACTTGCTAAGAATAATCGGTTGTTTGGCCGGCATTACAGCAGACAGTAACCGTTTTCTGTTTGTTGGCCTGGGTCTCCACCTAAGTGTTTTGAATTTTGACTTCGCCCACCAACTTAGGAGTTAAAGCCACTTGCTATGAATATTACGCCTTAGCACCTGGCCTAATGAAGGAGGTCGTAAAGTTTCCTGTGAAACTCAAAACCTTAGTAGACGCCGTCCCATGGTAACCAGTGATTAAAAATAGGTTTATACACTATCCGACTCCTCAGGATCCAAGAGCTTATGTACATCTTTGGTTTGGAATCGAGGTTTTCCAACTCCTCTGAGTGAATTCTCTGTATCCACCGGCTTAATGTAAGATCTGGATGTTTGCTTTTCGTCCTCTCATTTCCGTAAAAAAACAACCTCACAGAATGAAGAGAATGAGAAGAACTTTCTTGATAGTGGCTATAAACACATGAGCGTATGAAGGTGTTTTGAATGGACTCTCCCAACTCTCGGCCGTACCAACGAATCCGCAGCTGATTGGTAATGTCCTTAACTATTGCACTGTATGATGAAGCTTCAAATATCTGAGAGACGAGTATATATGCTCCTTAAGTATCGGGCTGGACAAACTTTCACGTAGGATTTTCTGATCGCCTCCAGTTATGTAATACAAAATAACAAAATTGAAGGTATGAAACAAACTAGAAGATAAAAGCAAAGTAATGAACGAGGGGGAGAAAAGATATGGAATAGCAAGGTTATTGTGATTTTAATTAAGAGAAATAGTTGCCAGATCTGCAAGACTCGACCGATTTTCTAGTCATACTAATCAGTCTCCATCGCAGGCATATACATTAGATTTACAAAACTGACTATCACTCACTGATTTCGTAGATTTCTAGCACATTATGTTTTGACCAAACTTAGCATTTTTTGTAGTTACTATTTCTCAACCCAATGATGATGAATCAGCATGCGCATCATGTACTCCAGTAACTGAAATTTTACTTACTTTGCACAAAGTTTAGTGGTAGACATTGTCATATTTTCACTCGAATGGTTCAAAAGAATTAGTATCTATTTACCCTATCTACTAAGACTATATTTTTGAATAACTTTGGACTAGAACAAATTACTCAGGAAGAGATTATCAACTATTGTTCGTCCTTGGAGCTTTACTTAGGTATACAAATTAAAAAGAATAAGTCTAGTATGTTTTGAATGTCTAATTAGTAAGGAAAAATCAAGCTTACAAGATTATTAGTAGAAATATTCATTCAAGTGAAATCTTGACTTTGTTGCAAGTAAAATGCTCAATTTAGAAAGTAAAATATGTATGTGTCGCATTGGATCTATAGTCGTTTAGTAATAATGGTATAGAGATCTTTTAAACTACTGAAACAACAAGACTTTTGACACTAAGCAGTGAGTAAAACACTGAAAACGAATAATTTAAAATTTTATAGCTCACGACAATGAATGTGGAAACCTGATAAACCAGATATTACGATTAAAACACGTACTCGTGTCACTTCTAGCAAAATTAAGAATATTTATTACAATACAAAACACTATGACATCACCACACTACTCACTAACCTTCCCCATTGCCACCAGATATACTATTCATCAGTTTTGGGTCACCAGAAGCTGTGCGTCGATGTGTTAGGGAAAAACGAGGAAAAACAGATTTGTTTGAAGAACAAGAAGTTGAGCGAATATGATGAGAAGTATTGACAGACTTGTATTTTCTATGGATAATGCAAGGAAAAATATGATTTAGTCCGTTATTATGAAAACAATAGTACTAAAAAGTTAGTTCAGAGTATCTCAGATGATTAGAATAATCTAAGACTAAATGAAGTGCAAAAGTTGTCTGAAAATAAATCTTTTTACATCCATACTACAACAGTACATAATTCTCACCACTAGTTATATTCCTTAGGAGGTTATTATCGTGTTCTTCATATCATCAAAAAATACCAACCGAGTTAAATAAATTACAAAACATAGTTTCAAACAATAGGGTAATAAACTACAATCTTTTTACCTTATGAACTCCCCAAAAATAATTAATGTTTCTGAGTTTCAGAACGAACGACACTTGATGTCAAAAACCAGATTATACTTGGGAGAAATTTCAAATTAACGTTGTATAGGACTTACTAATAAATCTGTTTTTCCCTAACCCTTATTTCACTGGATTATACTCTTTAAATAACATCTTCAAACCCTAATCTTTCCGATTACTGCTTATACTCTTACCGCCTTTACCACTGCGGGATTTAAATCGACAACTGCATCTCTGTGCTAATGTGGTGTGGCAACTCGAACTGATGTGCGTACGTACGAAGTTCCACGTTGTTACTGACTGACTGAATGCTTTGTTCTAGTTGTACCTAAACACTTTCATCATCTAAACAACCAAAAGTTCAATAAAAAATGAACTGAAAATGAAATCATACGAAAGGTTATCTACACAAGATATGTAGTCATCATGAAAGTGAGTCTGATAAATCGTAGTTAATCGTTAATGCTGCATCCAGAGGTGCATTGACTAGAAATGTGAATCTGCTCGTAATAGAGTCACAAGAATGTAGGACTTAATGAAAATTCTGTGATCGAACGCATTTGCAAAGCGTTCAACTACGAAAGCAACAGAAAGTATATCTTAGGAAAGTAGGCATACTATAGAAACATGCTAAAAAGAGAAACGAAAAATTCCACGTTAAATCTCGATATATGAACCTCTTTTTTAAAGTAAGTGAATTTGCACATGAGGTAAATGACGATTGACAATGAATCAAACGGATGCATGGCAATTCGAAAACAAGAGAGTATTACTTTCAGTAGTTATACTCTTACTGATCTAGGGTTGCGGTACAAGTTAAAAATACATTACTCATAGTGTGACATCTATTAATCATCTAGCTTATAATGAGAAAACGAGTAACTAGGGTCACTGTCACAAGCAAAATTTGGGTATTACTAAATAAGAAATATCTGTATCGACTTTTCATTTAATCTACTCAATGGTACAGTATTTTGTAGCATACTACTACTCTTTTACACCTTATAAATTAGTAAATGTCTGCAAAGAATATGAGAGATGGAGGCCGGATTGGTCATACCTACTTTTGAGCTCTTGAAGTAATATTAATAAATTGCAAATAAATTCAATTATGTTATGTGTTTGGAAACGGCCAGTAGATGCTATTTTCTAAATGTTATCGATGCAATTGGGTCAGTAAGATGGAAAAGAGGTAGTACTGGTTACTCTTTGGTGACCGGTGTGTGCTTCATAGAATTATACAAGCTTTATTGAGATATGAATAACCTATTAGTAAATTTTCCGAGCAGCTAATATCTGAATTTCTGAAAGAACATGCTTCTCAGTTGAGGATACTTTTGCTGGTGAGTGTTGAATATAGTAACTAATCCCACGACTTTCTTCCAGTTGTCTATAGTAATTCAACATCAAGTTCACCATGCTTCCAGTTCACATACCTTACATACTACTACTGACTTGATCAACAGGATTTGGTTGGTAATAACCAAAAATATTGAGATTAATTACTCAATTTTCTTTATGTGTCTTCTCAATAGTCACTTACTTGGAGTATGTTATATCAGATGAGACCACACTAGTATCGTTTATTCCGTTGTCAAACGTTATAGTACCAGGATGCGCAGGTGGAAGGTGGGGTGGAAACGATAGCGAAGAATGAGAACACACCGAGTCCATTGATCGTAAAGTCATTAATGGAGTATTTGGTGTACTAGCAATAAGCCTCGAGTTATTGTAAATTATGGATTCATTGCTGGAATTCGGTCTAAAAGATATATGAGCACGATTTTCTAGATTGCAAGGATCATCATTTATTTTTATTGATGTACCCTGATGCACAGATAAAGAAGACGTCGGAGAAGAGGAAAGCAACCCAGACACACTAACTATGGATTGAGATTCAGGTGATGTTGATGTAGGTGAGGAAACAGATGTTTGATCGGAGGTGGTTTCTTGAGTAACAGACAAAGGTTCTGCAGAAAGTGGGCCTGTAAGAGGCAGACGACGTTTTGGATTTCTGGTAAATATATACGCACCTCGCGTCTGGGATAGGCTCCCAGCAGGTGGTATCTGGTTGACTATTAGGCGATGACGCCGCCCAGCTCCTGGAAAGCCAATAAAATCGTTGGAATGAGAGGGTCGCTTTCGCAATCGCAAACTGATGTGCTGTGAAGAATGCCGCATTAAGTCAGCGACGCGATAGTGAAGCCAACCAATCTGATAAAAAACAGAGATAAACAGTAAACGTTCGATTATTATAAAAGTCCTATGAAAGTTTAAGGGCGGACTTTTAGTTTGAGCTGGTCACAAGAAAACGGAAATTAAGTCACATGAAATATCAGTCAGTTAATCACCAAAAACGTGGAACTTCGTACGTTCGTACATCAGTTGCCAAATACCGCATTAGCGCAGAGATACAATTGTCAATTCAAATCCCATAGTGGTAGAGGTAGTAAAAGTATAAGCAGTAATAGGAAACATTAGGGTTTGAAGATGTTATTCAAGGAATATAATCCAGTGAAATAAATTTGGAAAGAGAAAAAATAAGGGACATGAAGAATTCAGGAGATTAGAATTTGAGAGAACACAAAGAGTGAACGCACCTGAGCCATCGCAAACGACTTTGAGCCATGTCACTTTCAAGGTCTCAACCATCGGTTGCTATCGTCTCGCGGATCCCAACCAAGTAGTCTACACCTACCAACATGGCTCAGTCCACTTGTCAATGACTTCATGGGTTTTCGCCATGTTGTGATCTGGCCGCCCCTAGCTTTCTTCCAACCTACTCCTACACCATAAAACATCGCTCGTCGGCGTTTTTTTTTGTTGGGCGTACGTAGCACATGTCTCATACATCTCAACTGATGAAGTTTCACTACTTCATCAATTGATTTGCCATCTTTACCTAGTACCCGTTTCCTAACAACTGCATTACTTACTCGGTGGTCCCAGGATATACTAGCAATGTTTCGAAGACACCTATAGTCGAATACTAGTAACCTATGAATATCCTCTACTTTTACCGGCCATGTTTCACAGCCAAAAAGTAGAATGGAACGAACTGCTGAGCAGTAAACCTGTCCTTTGGTTGGTAGACGGACATCTTGCCTACGCCATAAGTGACGAAATTTGGTAAAAGCTAGTCGAGCCTTCTGTATCCATGCTGAGATTCCGTCATACACCAGACCACGAAGGCTGATGAGACTCCCAAGATGAGTGAAGTGGTCCACACGCTCAACTACTTCACTCCCTATCATTAGTTCAAGTGCCGATGCAACCCAATCCTGAAGCAAAATTTTGCATTTTGAGGGGGACAACCGCATCTCGAACATGTTTGCATTGTTGCTTGAGGTGGTCAACACGAAATATCGATAAGGAAGTGAGATGTTAGCAACTGAGTAGTAATCTTCTTAAATAGTTTCTGAATGTTTGTAACTCAGTGTATTATAGTGAGTAATATGCTGCACATAGTAACTGCGGATACAGACAATTTTTAATATAGCATACCGTAAAGGAACATATATATTACATACTTACAACTATTTGTTCATTTACTTCGATTACTTCATCTCCTTTGGTAACTTTTCCAGTACTAAATGCTGGGGACTGAAACAAGAAAAATAAAAAGTAACATTCATAAATGGCCTCCAGATATCTAAACATCATTTAAAACGTGTAGTAAATAAATAAAAATGCTATTTCGATCAACTGCAGCACAAATATTGCCTTAACGTAGTATCTTCTATTCCAAAAAGCTCTGTCCATGCATTCTTACATACTCCTGTCACACTTCATGGAAAAACATAGGTCGCTAACCAGAATTCCCCATCCAACTCTGTCCTGAGCAATTCTTTCACGTTGTTTCCAGTTGCCATTTATCCTATTCATGTCTGCTTTCAATTCTCAGTGCAATGTGCTTTAAGGCCATCCTTTTTTACGTTCCCCTTCAAGATTCCATGTTAGGGCTTGGCTCGGTGATGCAGTTTGATGTTTTTCGTAATGTATGTCCTATTCACTTCCAACGTATTTTCCTAATTCCGTCTTCAATTGGAAGCTGGTTTGTTCTCTCCCACAACAGGTCAGTCAGTCAGTCAGTCAGTAACAACGTAGAACTTCGTACGTACGTACATCAGTTCGAGTTGCCACACCACATTAGCACAGAGATGCACTTGTCGATTCAAATCCCGTAGTGGTAGAGGTAATAAGAGTATAAGCAGTAATCGGGAAGATTAGGGTTTGGAGATGTTATTTAAAGAGTATAATCCAGTGAAAGAAATTTGGAAAGAGGAAAAAAAGGGACATGAAGAATTCAGAAGATTAGAATTTGGGAGAACACAGAGAGTGGATGCACCTGCGCCATTGCAAACGATTTTGAGCCATGTCATTCAGGGTCTCTAACCATCGGTTGCTGTCATCTCGCGGTCCCCAACCAGGTAGTCTACACCTACCAACATGACTCAGTTCACTTGTCAGTGACTTCATGGACTTGTGCCATGTTTTGGTTTGGCCGCCCCTAGCTTTCTTCCAACCTACTCCTATACCACTGAACATAGCACGTCGAGGCAGTCGGTCGTTGGGCATACGTAACACGTGTCCCAGCCATCTCAACTGATGAAGTTTCACTACTTCATCAATTGATTTGCCATCCTTACCTAGTACCCGTTTCCTAACAACTGTGTTACTTACTCGATGGTCCCATGATATATGAGCAATGTTTCGAAGACACCTATGATCAAATACTAGTAACCTACGGATATCCTCTACTCTTACCGGCCATGTTTCACTGCCATAAAGTAGGACGGAACGAACTGCTGCGCAGTAAACACGTCCTTTGGTTGATAGACGGATATCTCGCCTACGCCATAAATGACGCAAGTTGGCAAAAGCTAGTCGAGCCTTCTGTATCCGTGCTGAGATTTCGTCACACACTAAACCACAAGGGCTGATGAGACTTCCAAGATAAGTGAAGCGGTCGACACACTCAACTACTTCACTCCCTATCACTAGTTCGGGTGTCGATGTAACCCAATCCTGAAGCAACATTTTGCATTTCGAGGGAGAGAATCGCATCCCGAACATGCTTGCATTGTTGCTTAGAGTGGTCAGAAGACTCTGCATTTTGTCAGTGTCTTCACCAAATAAAACTATGTCATCAGCATATTCTAAGTCAACAAGTGAACCTCCTGGTAGAAGTTCAACCCCTGTAAATTTAGATGAGGAGAGTGTTATCTCTAAAAGTACGTCAATGACAAAGTTGAACAAGAATGGGGAGAGTGGACAGCCCTGACGAACACCACTTGAGGTGATCAATTCTGATGACAGTTCGCCATAAGCTCTCACTCGACCAGTTGTGTTCGAGTAGAGAGCCTTTATAAGGTTAATGTACTTCTTTGGTACTCCTTTCAGTGACAAACACTGCCATAGAACCTCACGATCAATCGAGTCGAATGCCGCCTTAAGGTCGAGAAATACTACCATTGTGGGGCGTCTGAATGTGTGTCTGTGTTCTAGAACCTGACGTAGTGTGAATATCTGATCTATACAACCACGTCCAGGTCGAAAACCAGCCTGGTTTTCTCTAGTCTGCTCTTCACGAGCTTTAGTTAGGCGTCGAAGTATTATTGAAGCTAATATTTTAGACACTATATTAGTCAAACTGATTCCTCTGTGATTGTCACAAGAGGACTTTTGTCCTTTCTTAAAAACTGGCACAATCAGTGATTGAGACCAGTCAGATGGGATTACGTCCAGTTCCCAAATTCTACCTAAGACCTCAGTTAATCTCATTGCTAATACTGGACCACCATCCTTAAAAATCTCAGGAGTAAACCTGTCAGGGCCTGCTGCTCTCCCTCGTTTCAGATTTCCTATGGCTTTTTCAACTTCGTAAAGGGACGGAGGACCTACATTAACTTGCCATTCAGGTTGACTGGAGATCGTGGGAAACCGAAGTGTGGCTGAAGGCCAGTTGAACTGATCCCTAAAGTGTTCTGCCCATCGATCCAATCTCCTGGATTGAGAATGAATAATATGTCCATCTTTCTCTGAGATTGTTTCGCTAACGGTCGGGTTCCTAATTCCGGTTTCCTTAACGAGTCTGAACAATTGTCTGCTATTACCTATTGCCGCTGCCTTTTCCATCTCTCTTGCTTTCGCTACCCACCACTGTTCGCGATCATTGCGTAGACTTCTTGTCAGCTTGCGCTTAAGCTGACTCCGCTCTTCATTATGTTCAGAGCCAGGTGGAATGTGTTTCCGAGCATCTATCAGTGAGATAGATGCTGCTGAGATCCAGTGTTGCTCCCTAACCTTCTGGTTTACCTTACTAGCAGATATCACTGCTGTTTCCACAGCTTTTCGGATATCATTCCATGCTGCATCGGGGTGGGCATCACATACATGGCTGCCTAACTGTTTTCCTAGTTGTTCCTGAAATATACTCTTAGCTTGACTATCATTAAGTAGGGCCCTAAGAGGTTTCCTTGCAGGGTCTTTCCTACGTCCAGTAAGACGCAAGCAAATACGCGCTCGCACTAGAGCATGATCTGAATCTAGGCATGTGCTCCAGAATGAGCGACAGTCTTCTATCGAGCCCCTCCATCGGTGGCTGATAGCGATGTGATCTATTTGGGTCCAACGTTGGGACGAATTAGGGGGTCGCCATGTTAAAAGATGTTTTTCCTTATGCTTAAAGTTAGTATTTGCAAGGAACAGGCGGTTATCTGAGCATAGCTGCAACAGACGGTCGCCATTATCTGTTCTTTGAGCCACGACACCATAAGATCCACCTAGGTGTCTTTCCTTATCGCTTAGTTTGCCTACTTGAGCATTAAAGTCACCGGCCACTATTACTACATCCGAGCGCCTAGCTTTTCGGAGAAGGTCCGAAAGCTTTCTGTAAAACTCATCTTTTACATCATCTGAGCTGCAGTCAGTGGGAGAATAGGCAGAGACGACGAAGAGGCAACGACGAGTGTCCCTATCTTTCCGGATTCTTACTGTTCCGTTCAGTCGGACAGCGCACAAACGACTGTCTACTGGGATCCACTCTAAGAGAGCTAGTTCTGCCCTAGGACTCAATGCTATACCTACGCCGGCGAGGCCACGGGAAGCAGAATCAGGGCTTCCAGATACACGAAGCGTAAATCGAGTCGGTTCTTTATTTTGGCATGGTGAGGTCAAATGAATGACGCTACTTGGATCCTGTATGCGCGTTTCGGAGACGCAGCACACATCGATGGCGCGAGATTCTAAAGTTTTAGCTAAGGAAGCCTGCTGTCCTATTTGGCAAAGTGTTCGTACGTTAAAAGCTCCTACGTGTAGTTTAGAGCGTGGTTTCAGGAGACCAGGAATGGCGTTCCACGTACTCGAATCGTTTGCCCTAGCGGTGCGAGGTGATAAAGAGACGTGAGGAGGGTTAGTCGGGAGGATAAGAGAAGTATTAGGAGGTGTAGGAAGGATTTGAATGTGACCACCTTGGTCTCTTGTGCTGTTACGGGTATGAGGGCTGATGTCACTTCCCGGCTGCCCACACCGTGGAAGGGTATTTCTTGAGGAACCTGAAAAGGAAATTGGATTAGTGTTGGTCTTGACGACCTGGGAGCGTGACCGCAGAGCCCAAGGGACAACTGCTTGAGGCCGGTCGCGCACGGCCTTTTTGTGGAAGGTTTTTGACGTGTTAGCTCCGTTCTTCAAGGGGCCTTACCGCCGGAGACGGAAATCCGTGAGGTAAGGTGAGGTGTGCATTTTTAGGGTCGACCTTTTCTAACCCCACCCCTCCTTGTGGGAAGGCAGCATCGCTGTCATGCTGGTTGTCCGAGGGAAACACCTTACTGCTGTCACACCTCTCTACAGTCAGCAGTACGACTTCGCCCTCAGACCTTGAGTTGCTGCTTTTAGTCTTACCGTTCGCCAATCGACCTGCCTGGCATGGTAGAACCTGCAGGAACATATGTTCCAGCCAATATAGCTCGGTTGGGTCATCACGATAGGCAAGCCCGATCACCGCGTCAAGGTAGCAGCTTCGATCGGGCCCACAGCAGGTCGTTACTGATGATATCCGGCCAACGGATATTGAGTATCTTGCGTAGACAATCGTTTAGAAATACTTGTACCTTTCTGATGATAGTTGTAGTTCTCCGTACAATAGAACTATCTTGACGTTCGTATTGAAAATCCTGACTTTGATATTGGTCAACAGTTGTTTTGAGTTTCATTTGTTCTTCAACTATAAGAACGCTCCCCTTGCTTTGCTAATCCTCGCCTTTATGTCTACATCAGATCCTTCTTGTTAATTGATTATGATGTTAGTGGGTCATAGATTGGATTAAAGCATGTTTCGTGTACGAATGTGTTGGTTCACGCTGATTGTTTATTTCTTATTCAGTCAGCGCTAGTCGATACTTGAAGACTCTAGAATCTTTTCACGTAAAAACTACAAATATATAATAACGTTTTTCTTATTGGGCTTCTCACTTCCATCTACCCTTGTTATTTGAAATATAACTTCTTTCCTGTCCGATCGTGTTCTGATTTGGGGACTTCTCAAGTGAATTGGTACCCAAGAATACTGAGCAATGGGAATAGCTGGGTTGTAATAAGAGGAATTGTGACAGCCGACAAGGTACGTGAGTTTCCACCTCTGCCAGAGTGTGATGCTTCTGTAGTTTTCACATTTGCTCGTATCTTATTTCGTTGGCATCTTGATAAGGTTTTCTTCTTTCCAGTCTGTCGACACTTGTTCTTCCTCCTAAATCTTTCTGAATAGAACATGGAGCATGTTTGCAGTTACTTCTATGTCTGACTTCATTGCTTCGATTGTTATACTGTCAGGTGCTGCTGCTTACCCACTCCTGATTTTTTCGATCGTTGGTGGAGTGGCAGTTATGAGTGTCTGTATGCACTACTTCAATTTCCGGTGGGTTCAGTGGGGCTGGTCTATTCAAGAGTTCTTCAAAGTGTGATACACACCTGTCCCTCTGTTCTTGGATCTTAGTGATTAGCTTGCCTCCTTTGTCTTTGACTAATCTCTCTTGTTTATTATATTTCCCTGCTAGTTTCTTCGTTGTGTCATATAGCTGCCTTATATTTCCTTCTCTTGCAGCTTTTTCCGTTGTCTTTGCTAGCTCTTGCACGTATTTCTGCTTGTCAGCTCTAATGTTTTTCTACACATGCTTGTTTACTTCTGTGTATTCAGCTTGTGCTTGGACTTTCTCTGCTCTTATTCGGGTGTTGTTAATTGCTGTCTTTTTGTTCTTCCTTTCTTGAATCTTGACCAGGCTTGCGATAGAGATCCATTCCATGCTTCTTATAACCCAGAACCTCCTGACATGTTGAAGTTAGTGCTTCTTCAATCGCCTTCCAAATGTCCTTCATAGTATTTTCTTTTGCTTTGGGTAGATCTTGTAAGTCTTGAAACCTATTGTTGAGAGCAACCTTAAATTCGTTGGGTTTGTCAGTATCTCAAAGGAAGAATGTATTGAACCTTTGTAATGCTGTTTCTCTAGTTGTCTAGTGCTTCTTTAACTTCAGTTTCATCTTGACCACAACCAAGTGGTGATCTGAAGCTATGTCAGCTCCTCTGTTTATCCGCACGTCTTCCATTGACCTACTGAGTTTTTTAGTGATGCAAAAATGATTGATGTGATTCTCTGTAGTGTGGTCCGGTGAGACCCATGTAGGTTTGTGCATGTATTTGTGTGGGAATATTGCGCCATCTTTAACCATTTTGTTGAATGCGCATAAATTCGCAAGTCTGTCACCATTCTCGTTCCTTTTTTCCAGTCACTTCATTTCGTCCCATGATATCTTGATACCCGGTGTTATCCATTCCGAATTTGGAGTTTAAGTCTCCCATCGGGATAGTCAGGTACTTTCCCGGGCTGAAGCCTGGCATAAGACTGATTTTATAATCTTCATTACAATCATTGGTGGGTGCATAGCGCTGGACAACTTTTATTGTGATTTCCTCTTTTTTGTTTCCAAAGTTGCTTTGATGATTCTGAATCCATTAGGTTTACATCTTATAAGTGCTCTTCGTGCTTCTCAAGACAGCATCAGTGCAACTCAGTGTGCGAAGCATTTCCTGCTTCATGACCAGCGTACAACAGCATCTCACATGAATCTATCCTTTTCAGTCCAGGTTTGTGCCAGTGGGTTTCATTGATTCTGAGTATCGTCAAGTTGTATCTCCCCATTTTCGTAGCTATTTGACTGGTCTTCCCGGTCTCCCACATTGTCCGAGCATTCCATGTACTTATTGATTGTTGCGCTGGTTGTTAGAATGGGCGTCGGCCTCATAACTTCCGAAAAATATCGGCTTTTACCATTAGGCGTCATAATCCTTCGGGAAGAAGATTCTTCAGCTCGGAGGGCAAAGTTTAAATGGTTTAAGTTGTTCATTCTGGTTAGTGTTTTTGGGCAAGGTTGATTTCTACAAGATGAGATTGCTGACCCCATTCCCAACCCTCCTCCTTTACCCGGACTTGGGACCGGAAGTAACCCTCGAAGAGTTACAGGCGTTGTCAATTCATTCAATCCGTTAAAAATACTGTGGATGTAGTAGTGGTAGTTCATCCCTAAATTTTTATTGTGATCTTCAAAACACAAAGACCTGTGACGTTAAGCAATACGTAACTAAAATGAAAAAGCAAGATCAGACATGAGACCAGTGATTATGTAGAATTCGGGTGTTTAACTTTGTTTTTCCGAAAAAATGTTTATTGTTTAATAATACGATCGCCGATGGCTTCGGTTCGAAGTCAAACTTGAAGTCAGAATATATGACTAACTGGTTCGAAGACGAGTTTTTTTAACTACTAAGAGGCCACTTACTTATTTGTAAAGGATTGAAATTACGCTAAATCTTAATCCAAACAAAATAGGTGAAAAATAGAGCCCATTATCGACACTACAAAGTAAAGCAAAATAAATCATAATGATAGACTACATGTTAGTCTACATACTTCATCCTGAACAGAAACAATTACGTGAATATTGTTTATCGTGGACCGAAAATTAAACCCCTAAAAAAAGAATATGAAAAGATATTTTAAGGAGAACTTTTAATCTTGTAGTAATCATGCACTAAACCTTTACACCACTTTACAGATAAATCATTAGCAAACACATGGAAATAATAACAGAATGTAAAAAAGTTGTTATTAGCGAAAGATTATTAAAACAAATACTGTGACCACAATGGTCGATACTTAACAATTTCAAGCAATCTCTCGGAAAGCTTACTGATTGTCCTTGCCATTTTAAACCCGATGCAGTACTTAGAAGAACATGGATAAAAATGTTCCACACTAGTGCAAGCAATGGATCTATGACGAAGTTAATCTAAGAACAGTAGAATATTGATTGGTTGCGTCAAATAATGGGTTTTCTCTCCAAACATCCATAAGTATCAAAATCAAACTTGATAAACGCTTACCAACTCACCAATAATCTATTTAAAATAATCTCAAGCTTGGAAGACAAGCAGAATGACTTATTTGATTTGTTCATATGCATTGAGATAGATTGTTTCATTACGGGCTTTCACTCCACTTCTCAACAATTGTTTCGGAGTAACGAAATTTCATCAGTTGAGATGTATGGGACATGTGCTACGTACGCCCAACCGCCGACGAGCGATGTTTTATGGTGTAGGAGTAGGTTGGAAGAAAGCTAGGGGCGGCCAGATCACAACATGGCGAAAACCCATGAAGTCATTGACAAGTGGACTGAGCCATGTTGGTAGGTGTAGACTACTTGGTTGGGATCCGCGAGACGATAGCAACCGATGGTTGGAGACCTTGAAAGTGACATGGCTCAAAATCGTTTGCGATGGCTCAGGTGCGTTCACTCTTTGTGTTCTCTCAAACTCTAATCTCCTGAATTCTTCATGTCCCTTATTTTTTCTCTTTCCAAATTTATTTCACTGGATTATATTCCTTGAATAACATCTTCAAACCCTAATGTTTCCTATTACTGCTTATACTTTTACTACCTCTACCACTATGGGATTTGAATTGACAATAGTATCTCTGCGCTAATGCGGTATTTGGCAACTGATGTACGAACGTGCGAAGTTCCACGCTATGACTGGCTGAATTATTCCGAACTACGAAAGTACGTTCTATATGATTCTAAAATACGACTTAAGTACCTCCACTTTGAAGGTGTTTTACTAACAACAAACTACTTATTGTACAGATAGTAGATCTGCATGTTATAAACTCGGATGTATAGCAGCTATGACGGTCTACAATACCCTACTGAAAAAAAACTAGTTATCTTTTTTATTTTTATAGACCTAATGCATGTCAAGTCCCAGAGTTCATATGGCACAAAAACGTATAGTCAGGACCTAGAAGTACTGAACGACCCATGATGAAATCCGTCGTATCATGAGGGCATACTAACAAATGCCCTGATTCCAGAAAATTTGGGGAGTAGTGATTATAAACGGTGGCCTTATAAATCAAGTATAGACTAGCTACTCACCTAACGGACTATGAGAGAAATTTCCAGCATGAGACGGACTTCAATCTCCGTAAGAACATCAGTAGCATATCAGTTAAGTATAGTTGAAATGTAACTCAGGTAAACCAGTACTCAAGTATATAAGAGGAAAACAATACAACTGATATCCAGAGATGCACAAACAAACATTATTACAAGCTGATCTAAGTAAAATAATGTAACATATTGCGATCAGGATATAAAGTATTAAGGAATTTCAAAAGGAAGCTTACAAAATCAGCAGAGTCAAGTTTTCTTATTTGTACCATTTCAATGCCACATGGAGTTAGTAAGATGGAATCACTGCAGTTTTGCAGAACATCTTCGACACGGATTCTCATTGGTTCAATCTTAAATTATGATAATGAGTTTTCCGACATACATAATCGATTATCTCCTTAAAATGTTCATTGCATTGAGTACTTATAGCCTGCTGAGATAACCTATTGGTAATTATAGCATTCTCAACAAGAAATTGCCGGAATACAACCATTTCGGGAAGAAGAGAAAAAGGGGGTCTAGCTGAAAATATTTACTGTGTTACATACTAACCGCTCTAGCCAGGACGCAGCATTACCAATCGAGGACATTAGGTTCAGTATACAACTGAGAATGTAAGAAACAGCTCCCTGAATATCTGTAAGTATCCCCGGATAAGGACTATCAGCATCTTGTCTCTTAGTTATAGCCATGAGAGAATTTATTGCAGTAACAATGCATGTACACGAACGTGATACGCGCAATAAAACTGACTGAAGTGTTTCGTTATCAAAAGATGAAAATTGGTATTGTAGTTGCTTCACTTTCTCCAATATGATCATCTGATGGCCAATCTTGTGAACTCCATACTTGTCCAAAACATCAGCAGTCAGGGAGCTAAGCCACTTTCCACTTATATTTTTGGCACTGAATGCGGACAGATACGGCTCGACAGCATCGTCCAACCCTTAAACAAGTTTATTCAAAGTTTGCTTAAGTACCGGAAAGCCAAGATATGACCTGAGCGGTTGTCCAACTAAGATACGATTGTGGTTTCTCGAATTTGTCCATTAGACCGCATACGGTTAACTTTTCGAATTGTTCCAAAATACAATGTCCAATATCGTTGTGACCCAACAGTACAAATGGTTGTGGACGGGATAAAAGAATATTTCGATTACCCAACTTCCGTGTCTAGTAGCAGAAGATCACCAATACTTCTAAGCAGGAACCTCGGTTCATTAACGATAGAAGAAGAAAAAGAAAAATCTCCACAAAACCCATTCTGATAATTGGTAATTCATTGTAAGAGATTACCCTCAGTCCCTAAGAATATATCAAGTTGCCTCTTGAAGGACTCCTAGAAAGTCGCCTGGACTAGCTCAGCCGGCAGCGAATTCCGGCACTTGACAACTCTAAAGGAGTAGAAGTTCTGTCAACAGTCCGTTCTTCTGTGTTTTGTCTCTAGTTTCTGGCTGTTACCCCTGAGATTTGTGTTGGAGCTAGACTTAAGTATGTGTTTAAGGGAATGTTCAGAAGTGTTAAGAATGCTATATGTCACCACAATTTCACCTCTAAGACACCTATACTCTGATTGGTAAAGGTTCAGCAATTTGAGGCGCTCTTCATAGGGATTAAATTTTAGTCCCCACATTGATTTCGTGGCTCAACATTGGATACGTTCCAATGTGTTCTTATCCTTTTGGATCGAGGGCAGAAACAATATATTGCCACGCTCTAAATAGAGTCGAAAAGGCATTTTTGTCACAGTTAGCGTAAGACTTCAGATCACAAGCTACCAACACTCCTAAATCTCTTTCAACTTGGGATACTTCTAGAAGGGAGTCGCCTAAGTTGTAGCTGTAGTCTGCAGCATGTCACCGATGGACTACTTTGCACTTTGGAGTGTCAGACGTATGTCCGTTGTTGTCCACACAACTTTGAGGGCGAGTCAGATCCTCCTGAAGTGCCAATTTATCCTTGTGGTTGTAAACTTCTCACCAGAGCCTAAGATCATTAGCGAAAAGTAATAAATCTGACTACACCAGCTGTAAAAGTTGGTTTATATAAATCAAGGGTTATCATCCCAGTTAACACGTATTTCTAGTTGTCTTTAGGAAGATTGAAGTCTCTTATAATCAGAATATGAAAGTATCCGAGATGCAGAGTGCAAGAACATCCCTTCAGCACACAGTTGTAGTACCCAGCGTCAGCTCTGAGCTTCCTGCAGATGACTTTAACCAAGAAATTGAGTGTCAGTCTATCTCACTGTGCACTAAACAAATTTATCAAGATTGATAATCTCTTGTGTGCATAATTGACATACTGCCAAGTAGATCGTGAGTACAAGGCTGTTCTGTCCCCAGTTTTCTTGTCATTGTTAAACAAAGATACTCTGGGTATTGCCAGCCACTAGTAATTGATTAGAGATGATCATTTTTCAGGCATTCCAGTCAAATCTATATTGTTAGCGCTGCCTAGTTCAGTCAATTGTGTTCGGTAAACTCTCGATGTTCGTATATGAATATTTGGTGCCTTCGATTCGGAATGTTTGAATGTTTTTTCTCGATTATCTAGTTGGATCTTATGTGAATGGATAGAAAACCTACCCAGATAAAGTTTTTTGAGCGAAAAGCCACCGTCTTCTTCATATTGTTTCCTCATTCTTCATAGTCCACGAGTGTAATAGTCAGTTCAGCTTTATTTTGTCCCTATTCCTTGCATCATCTGTCCCGTGTAGGTGTATGCGAATTCCAACTGATGACTGATGTTTGTCTGTACAGAATGCTTCCAGAGTGGCGGCCGCCACTTGGAATTTCACTATAAGTTATCATCGTCTGCATAATCAGGGTCCATGTTTTTTAGGACACTTCTCATCATAATATTTCTTTCGCGAAAAATATCTCGCGAGATTCCCTTGAGTTGTTTCTCATAAGATTGCTCCCACAATATTGTATATCAGGCAGTATCCCTATATTCTCACTTGATTTCAGCAAGCAGCTGGCCAGTAGAACATCCTCCACATTAGCAGTGTTAGCAAACATTGTACGAAGAACTTTCGAGTTTGGTATCCTTTCTACAGATAACCCCGTACCCATAAGTGGCTCTACTTTGATAAGTTCAAGCTACCACTTTAAATTCTCCAAAGCATCCTGCTGTTTTTGTTCTGCAGACTGAGGGGAGTGTCAGAATAGTATTTAAAATTCGTTATTATCAGAGAATAATCATGGTCCTTGGTCGGTTAACCAGTTTTTTAGTACGTTGGGGTCGGAGTCATTTTGTTTGGCTGTTGGGGTGTGGTCCAGATCCCAGTGTTCTTTGTTAACTGGTTGGACAATCTTAAATGTATATCGAACGCCTTATCCATTATCTAATTATTTTTCATGAAACGAACTGTTCAGCATTTTTGATAATGGTCCTCGTTTCTTTTTAACCTTGTTAACGAGACTCCAATTGCTTACAATGAAGTTATTCGGAATTACAGTAGCACTTTGAGGGTCTGTACTGGGTAGCCAAGTGTACTGTGAAAGTCTAACACCATCGATTTTGTGGCGGCGAAGATTTTCAGAATATCTTCATTCATGTTGGAGCTTGTTCCGTCAGTACAGTTGTCGAAGTCCTTCTCCTTCACCCCACTGCACGTCTTTATTTGTCTATTAGTTTCAGGACCGCTTTTCCGGAGTTGCCGACAATATTTTACAAACCTGTAAGGAGAATACTGACATTGTTGAGTAAATGCTCAGAGTTCATTTTACATGTACCATATACCCACAAGCTATCTTACTTACCAAGTTTGTTGTAACCAGTCACTGTAAAGTCTTTGCATTCCCTGTGCAATAGATCTTTGCACCTGCCACACTGCATACCATAGATGATAATTAAATGAGACCCAAGTCGTTAAAATATTATCTTGGTGACCGCGGAGAAATATAAGTTGTTACAAAATTTTGTGGTTGTGAAATAAACAGTAGACTAAAAACGAATAAAAACGGGTCGTAAAAAGACCTATGATGCATTAAAACTAAACTTTTGACATGACAAACCATAAATTTGAAAAGTAAGCTAACTCAAAATCTCAGTCAAATCTATAATCTAGCGAACATCATCTACAGATTATTCTGATCAAAATTCGCAGTCCTTTTCCACAGGGAAATAGCAGAAGTTTGAGAGACAAAAATGGCGTTAGGGTGGTACTTCCCAATCGTAAAGCTCAAGCGTTAGTCCTAGGGTAGTACGGTCTCTGAAACCAGCAAGCATAATATTTCCAGTCAGTTGGTTGGTTGCCATGTCAGAAATAACAGATGAAAAAATTGAATACGGAAGAAAAAAGAGCAACCAATTGCCCAAAACAATTAGTTGATGAATTACATAAACGATACTTGTTGATAGAATTTTAGGGCATAACAGATGGGCCATTTACTAATTAGGACTCAAAGATTATAAGCATATTTGGCAAAGTGATTTTGATTTGAAATTTGTATCTAAGAGAGAGGGCATATATTTGAGGTAATACTGGACAATACTGAATAATACGTTGAATAGGAGTCCACTAATGACCCTACAAAAAATATAAGAACAAAAATAAGCTGAAACAGCTCTAATGAAAGAAACAAAGAAGATGTGGCCATTTGTGTGTCCAAATACTGTTTTCCGTACTGTATTTTAAAACTACACATAATCCTAAACTTTCAGTTTTTTTTTCGAAACACTTTCATTTATACAGTTGTTTATCCGTTCATTACTATACTTAGGGCTATTTTCTTTAACCTATTAGAATGTTCCTGTTTGGAAACTAACTTAATAAAAGAGAATAATTCTAAGTAGTTATAACTTCATTACTCCATGACAAATGACACAATTTCGGTTGCTATGATCATTGTATGCTCTGCTTCCTGTGCTTTCTCTTATAACTCTCCTTTTCAGCTACCTCGTGATATGCCGCCAAAAACCCATGTGGGACATGTGACTTCGTCCTGAGCCATTATCAATAGTTCGGGTATTCTATAAGGATGTATGGTTGCGTTTTTCAGAAGCTTTCAACCTTACGTGGATTCTTTTTCGACCATCAGTTGCACATCCCAACTCAACCTCTGTAAAGCACACTAACCCTTACATTGACAGTTAGAGTCTTAATAACATTGTTTGTATTCAAATGTGACAGGTGTTATCCTCCCCTGATTCTATGATCAGTATGCCATATAACATATCAACCTAACTAGGTGACTTATCACTGTGAAGCCTTTATCATATGTAAAACTTTGATCTTGTCTGTGAACTGACATACCTCATGTAACATATTGTTATCTGATAATATATTATTATTATCAGTAGTAGTATTCGTATATGTTTGCATTTACGTGTTCAGCTGTTGCACTAATATTACCCAAACTAGCGTTCAGCCCAGTTGTCAATATACATAAGAGCGATGTTATGAAACATCTGAACCACTGAAAACATTCAACTTCGACACCGTACTTGATTTTATCAAGTACTGTTTCCTCATGACTGTGTTATTACAAATGATTTCGGTACATCAGTTAGCTGTTCAAATACCCAATGGTTTGAAACCTGTACAGTTCAAATGGTGGTTTGACGACACGTTCATCCACGAAGATCATCAGATTACACAGTCGATAGGATCTCTTGCGAAGTGAAAACAACATTGTCAACTATATTCCAACATTGATAGTGTTTCGCACCAGTATCGTTGACATGAGTTCAGGGTGACACTCTTGGTTTCTTCGATATTTTTTCTGTTCTCTTATCGAACAAATATGCCGCACTAACAGGTTATAATATTTTAGAGACAGTGTCACCAAGCCACTCCCGATCTGTAGTCTACAACATTTAGTGATTGTAATAGCAATCATCAGCTTCACAAACTGTGGTTACAAAGTGATCTATAACTTCGTACGACGAAGTAACGACTTGTTCACGGCTATACTCTTGTACTTTCAGCTAATCTGCTGAACATATATATAAATTGAATTCGACACATACGTGCAGTAAACTGTCGACGGCACAGGCTGATCTTCTGCATTAAGTCAATTACGATACTAACATCAATATCGATTGTTGATACACTTATCGTGCTACCACTGTAGTAACACTACGCTTGCGGCTAACTAAAAGTTGCTTATCTGAGGAATTCAATAACTTATCAACGCAGTGTATTCCCACACTGCCTGGTTGAACTTTGAAACGTTCTAGTTTTTTGGATTATCGTCGTTAATTGCCTGATATTTAACTAACCTAAAAGTCTTACTTCTAAGCACATCGGCAAATGCAATATCACAGATTTATTATTACTCGGTATTTCCAGATCGGCTTGTGCAACTTCCTTCCCATTTGTCTTACAGGTCGGTGATACTCGAGGGATTCTTGTTCGTCGTTTGGCAGCCTCCGGAGTGCAAATCCCCTTGACATGTTTGGTACTAATTCAAACGGCAGTTGAATCCGGGGAAAGAGTATTGTAGGGCCAGTGAAATTTCACTGAGCCCTAGCCAACTCATCAGGCAGTTGAGACGCTGAATATCAAACGCTCTATTCATCTTCGTCAAAACCAAGGACGAAGAACGCTCATCAGCTAATTTTATGTCATGGATCGGCCCACGAGTTTGTGGTGCACTCTATTTCTTGTAATACTCTTACTAATATATTTCTGTAATAATATCGTTTGTGTTGTCCGGTCATCAAAGCAGCCACAAAACCTGAATACGACGAAAGACCAATCCTCGTTAGGTACTGACCGAAAAGTGTGACTGTGACGTTTGTTGATTGGTCTAACTCCAGTAGCTACTTCAGCCATGTACATAAGCTGGAAGCAGCACACAAAAATTAGGGGAATTCTAAACTTTTTATGATCGGACATAGTTGAGCATCACTCAGAAGATTAATAGGTTATATTTTTACTTGTATTAAAGAAAAGATGGGATATGACGCATTTTAGGAAAATTAATGCGTCTTTAAACATACTGGAGTTCCGGAATCTGAATATGAGGGTTAGAAGCATAAGACTAACTAACAGAGAATGAATTATGGGAGAAAGGAGATCATATGTTTTATTGTTTGGTTATGCGCATATGAATGATAATGGAGGTCTTTTATATTCATGATCAGTCTATATGTTAGGTGTTACATAATATACCTCTTTATTATTGGGTGGGAGTTCAGGAAATAATTGTTGAAGCTCTCTAGGATATAAAAACATGGTTATCAGTTTTTCGAACTTGGTGGTAGTGTCACAGTTACGGACAGGCACTAGCAACCTGTTCCATAATGAACCATACCGTACTGTGAAAAATTTACAGCGCATTGGTTCTTGTTGTTTTACAGTAAGTAATGTATATATGTTTTTTACCAATCCTGTAGTCAGGGTTGAGCGGGAGGTTAGAAATAAGAGTCCGTATGCTACTTTGTAGAGTAGTATTAGATTGTTCCTTAACCAACGGCACCATAGAGGTTCTAAGGAGAGGTGCTTACATCCAGCAGAAAGGAGTCATATCCTAGCAGTCGACGCGTGGAGTGTCTTTGGACATCTGCCCTTATCTCGTCTGTGGTATTCATGTTCGAGGAAATAAATGGGTAGCATTCAAAAAGAGACGTATATATGATTTGTGGAAGTTGAGCTTAGCCTCTGTGGCGAAGATCTCGCGAAGAACTCCAGAGGTCTTTTGGATATTTGCCGAGCTCGTACTGCATGTATATAATTTCAGTCCACCCATGTCTGTAAGGCAAAAGATTAATTAAATTACAGCTCCCAACGGTCTAGAGATATTGTACTAAGCGATGGCATTAATGCTACCTTCTTATTCCAACCAACTCTTTGACTCACGTCTGTAACCTTGAAGTGGCTTTACTTCCTACCGAGAAATCCTATTGCAAGCAAAACTGGACAATTACACTTAGTAAGAGTCTATTGATCACTCTACTAAGGTGATAAATAAAAACGATTTATAACAATTTTGACCAAAAAAGCCAGTTAGTATTCGAACACTGTATTTTCCTCACTAAATTTTTAAAATACACATAATCCTATACTTTCGGTTCTTTTAAATCACTTCCATTTGCACAATCTTGTATTCATTCAACGTCATACTGCGGCTTGTTTTCTTTAACCTGAGGAAATATACTTGTTTGACAATTGACCTTATAAGTGAGAATGAGTCTTAGTAGTTATACCTTAATCGTTCCATCACAAATGATTAAATTTCACCAGTCATGAACACCATCCGTCCTGTTTCTCGCCCTTCCTTTTTCTTTTCTTTCTCAGCATTCTCGAGGTATAACACCGAGAAATTTGTGGAACATGTGACTTTGCTATTCGCCGTCACTAATACCTCCGGAACTTATCTGGGATCACTATCAAGAAGCACGAAATAATACATTCAAGTTGACGTCTTTGATTGACTGCTCTGGACTTTAATTTCACCCCTTACGATCACCAATTGCTTGTCTCAACGCAAGTCCCACAAAGCACGCCAACGCTCATATTGGATACCAGGGTCATACTAAAACTAATATTCTGATGTATAAAAATTTGTCTCCTGTTTCTATCGCCTGTGTGCCCTATAACGCAACGTAATTGTGTAACTTAGTAAAGTCTGTAGCATTTGTAACAAATTGGCTTTGCCGACAAACTGGTATGCCTCATGGGATATACTTTTAAATGAGGATATACTGTTATTATAAACTTGTCGCCGATCCAAAAGCTCATTCAGTCATGATGCTTCTCTTCGACAACCTGAAACAAGGGTTTCACATTTGCCAGGTCCTAATGGCTCAACGAGCAACGACGGAGACACTTCGAGGTTGATGTCATATACCTTGACTGCTCAAATGCTTAATGATGTTAAACTCTGGTGAGAAGTTTACAACCACAAGGATAAATTGGCACTTCAGGAGGATCTGACTCGCCCTCAAAGTTGTGTGGACAACAACGGACATACGTCTGACACTCCAAAGTGCAAAGTAGTCCATCGGTGACATGCTGCAGACTACAGCTACAACTTAGGCGACTCCCTTCTAGAAGTATCCCAAGTTGAAAGAGATTTAGGAGTGTTGGTAGCTTGTGATCTGAAGTCTTACGCTAACTGTGACAAAAATGCCTTTTCGACTCTATTTAGAGCGTGGCAATATATTGTTTCTGCCCTCGATCCAAAAGGATAAGAACACATTGGAACGTATCCAATGTTGAGCCACGAAATCAATGTGGGGACTAAAATTTAATCCCTATGAAGAGCGCCTCAAATTGCTGAACCTTTACCAATCAGAGTATAGGTGTCTTAGAGGTGAAATTGTGGTGACATATAGCATTCTTAACACTTCTGAACATTCCCTTAAACACATACTTAAGTCTAGCTCCAACACAAATCTCAGGGGTAACAGCCAGAAACTAGAGACAAAACACAGAAGAACGGACTGTTGACAGAACTTCTACTCCTTTAGAGTTGTCAAGTGCCGGAATTCGCTGCCGGCTGAGCTAGTCCAGGCGACTTTCTAGGAGTCCTTCAAGCGGCAGCTTGATATATTCCTAGGGACTAAAGATAGCTTCTTAATTTATTAATGTTTTTCTTTTTTTATTTCGAAATATACCCAGAATTCTATCTAGCGACATCGGCGATTCACTGTTACTAGATATTGAAGGCTCTTAAGCGAAAGATTTTTCCTTTCTGTTCAGAACCACTTGAACCATTTGAATCGGCATTTGGAGCAATGTTTAAATGTTCCGGAAAATGGAAAATCAGTGGATGTTTTCTTCATCGACTTAAACAAAGCATTTGACAAGGTGCCAACAAATAGACTGCTATTGAGGCTGGAAAATCTTGGGATTGCCAGGCCGCTCCTAAAATGTCCTAAGGATTTCTTAGTATATCGTAGACAGGACGTAAGAGTGAATTCTGAGTGCTCCACCTGTAGAACAGTACTTAGTGGAGTTCCGAAAGATTGTGTCCTAGGTGCTTTACTTTTTATGCTGTAACTAAATGATTTCCCAAGTATACTTGTGTCCCGAATGTTACTATACGCCGATGATGTAAAAACCTGGCGAGAAATCACAGGATACGCAGATACATGCGCACTTCAGGCAGACTTAAATATTGTGATTGGCTGGTCTAAAGAGTGGCTGATACCCATCAACGCAACAATCTACTTTGGGGATATAAAGGCAAGTAGGTACAGCATAAGGGAAATGCCTGTACCCATAGTCCAATTCCCCAAGGATCTTGATGTGACAGTGAGTCATGATCTTAAGACCCAGGTCCAGTGACGGGAGGTTGCAGCTAAGGGATTAGGACCCTATAGGCTTTAATATGGGCGTTCACTAAGTTAGATACTACCATGCCCACTACTGTATACACAACCTCAGTGAGAACTAGGCTTGGAATTTGCGTTAAGGTTGCAAACCCCTGTTTCAAAGGCGACTTGGATATGCTGGAAAAAGTACAGAGGGCAACTACCCGTGCAATTCCAGAACTTCCAGGCTTACCATACAAAGAGCGGCTTGTAACACTAGACCTCTTCACTTTGTCCTATCTCAGATCAAGATGTTATCTGATTTTGATGTGTAGGATACTCAGAAATGATTTTGAACCTAATATACCCCTATTTTTCTTCTCACTAGATCGAGACATCTCAGAGGACATAACAAGCGAGTAGAAAATCTAAGGACGAATAAGATTCCCGAGGCATACAGTTTTTCATCTCGAGTTATCAATTCTTGGAATCTGTTACCCGAGGCACGTTCAATCAACTCGTTCAAGAGAAGACTATACTTTCACAAAAGCATACTAAAAAACGGAATAACATAAGCATTAGGCCTTCTGTCCTTACTACACAAATGTGAATACGAATAGCAGTAGTCAATACTATGTTCCTTTTGAGTGATTGAGTCTTTGGAGTATAAAATAAACTGTTTAATCCAAGTTTTAGTACTATAGAGGGAAGTTTGTACTCTCAAGGATGTTTGTTTTTTAGCGGTTATAAATTTTCGTTCTGGTTGTTGCTGAGATTAGTCATGTTTCTTATATTTGTGAGGTCAGATTCATAATATTACAAAACGGCACTTTGAAGTTTCGCAGTAATTGATAAGTGGCAGTCGTTGTTGTGTGATTAGTACTTCTTTTTTGTATCTTCCACAGGGCCCGTTTTAAATGCCATTTAACCCATGCCTACAAAAAACGCAAAGAATATCTCTGAGCTTTAACTGTTGAAATCTATCCAGAAAGTAATTATCAATCGAACATGGGTTTAGTTATACTTTGTTTCTGTTGTCTGCACAATGCGGTTGAAGTCATGTTAAAATTTTTGGAGAGCAAATTAATGTTTACCGGTCATCTTCATAGGGCTCATCGTTAATGTGTAACCAGTTTTGATGTGATTTAATGGATGTTTTCCACTTTGGATGGTCTTAGCTGGCATAACAATCCTTCTACTGATTTACTCAAGTTACGTATAGAAAGTTGAGATACATTTCAGACTGGATTGTTTTTGGATCAAGAGCTTGACAGAGTAGACCATATGCCTTTGTGGGGTCATTCTGATTGTTCACTTTGTGTGAATAGCCCATCAATAGCATTTTACTCCACTTTGCTGCTAAATAATCATATAATATGAATCATATGGAGGTCAAAATACTAGACTGCAAACTAAAGTGTCAGTGGGTAGAACGAGGTTTTTTTTAGTCAGGAATGGTGTTTGTTGACCTTTAAGTCACAAGTTTCATAGCAAGAAAGTCAGCAGTATGTCTTCAGTGTCCATGGCACTTACAATTATGTGCGTGTCAACGCCGCTTGAGTATCATTGTCTTCTCAGATTTAAGACAGTATCAGATGCTTGGTTTTACCATGGGTCTCAAAACTCGTAAACTTACTAGACATGTTCCATAAGTTATAAGCAACCACGTGTCGGTGCTATAATCGTCGCCCGAATGTTGGAGCTCTAACATGCCTGTCTCTAAAAGCTTTCATAGTTAAACTTTTTAGGAAAGTTCGGACATATCCTTCACTAATTTAGTATACCTCGAAATCCTGTCTAGCAGTTGGGTTCAAATTTAGGAACATCAGTAGATTGTCGTTGATTCCTTTGTGGAGCTTCAATTAAAAATATCCTTCCGATGGTTTTATAACTTTTCACTCAAGCGACTTGGTGGTCCATAAGATTAGGGCACTACCGTTTGATACTTGGAATAAACACTAAGCATTGCATGTATTGTGTTGGGCTATGTCGTACATTGACTACTTGTCAAATGCGAAAATATTTCGACTCTTGTTCCCAATGAGGTGACTACTCTCTTTAAACAACGGGATTCTCGTGACTTTAAAGTGACCTTAAATTAATCGATAGTTCAAGTAGTGAGTATGATCTAAATGGTGTATGCGGTCTTCATTAACAACTGACCATAAAAAATCAGTCCACAGTAGCAGCATTAGTGTTAATAGAAAAGACTACGCATACAAGATACCATCCGACAAAATATAATTTAGTGAGATAATAGGAAAAATTTATGAGGAATCTAGAACTTCAGCATCTAAGGAGAGACAGAGTGAATGTACCTGCGCCATCTCTAACAATTGGTTACCATAATCACGTGGACCCCAACCAAATAATCTAAACGTACCTACACGACTTAGTTCAACAGTCAGTATCTTTATGTGTTAATACCATGTCTTGGTTTGGCCGTCCCTAGATTTCTCCTAACCTGCTCCTGCACCAGCCATTATCGCGCGTCGAGGTGGTTGGTGGATGGGTTTGCGTAGTACATATCCTAACCATCTCAGTCTACAGAGATTTACAACCTCATCAAATGGTTCTCCATCCTTACTTAGTAACCTATTCTTTAATAAAAGTAGTTGAAATGCGGTTTGTACCTACTACCTAATGTTGGTAAGTTGATCGCTCTAGTCATAAGGTTACCTCTCCACGGATCCAAGAAATGTGCTAAGGTTTCTCAATGGCGTTAGTTGCTCAACAACAGACAGATTTTAGTTGAATTTGTTTTCGCAAATTTTATTTTAGAATACTTCCAACTACTGTTCATTAGAATTCAGTACAGGCTAGTCATTTACCTATTACTATACCAGTAACCTACTATAAAACACAATGGGAAATTGTATTTTTGCTGGAAAGAAGTTGTTTAGTCAGTAGGTTGTATATTTGGTTTTCGAAATATTGTCACTTACAGATGCTACAATCATCTCGGACAAAGTAGAAAGTCCTCTGCCGAGGTACTCATTCTTCATTATTTTCATAGTTTCCTCTCTAGTTTGATTGCTTAATTGGAAAGGTGAGTAATGTCTATGGCCCATAATTCAACCAACTCATTTCTTATTTCTAAGGAGAAGTACAGGGATGTAAAACCGTAAGTTAAGAGTCTTTAAATTGGTTTTATTGTTTTAGATTCAAAGAACCACGAAATATGATCAATGAGTACATGTCATGGGTATGTTCTTGGTTTACATTCACCATAAATGTATTTTTTAAACCGATTTATCGTCATCTGACGTCGTTTTACTATTTTGGCTCTAGGCCTTGAGTCACAGTCATTCACCACTTGTCTTCGACGATGCTATGTCCCGCTCGTCACTTTCTTCACATTTTGATGAGTCAAATATACCAATCTCTTCTAGTTGGGTTAGTGATGGAGCGCGAAGTGATGCTTCTCATGTATTGTATAAAGAATTAGATCCGTTAAATAAAGCAACATCTATGGAACTTGATAAGGAAAACAATACAGTTTTCTATAAAGAGGGGAGTTGGATTACTGTTGCAGAGCCTTCAAACGGGAAATATGCTACATCGGTAAGTAATTATCACTTCAGTAAACTGCTTTTGATAGGACTTAGAAGCGTTTGTTTTGTTTTTTGTCATGTGAATGTTTATATTTATTTAAATTGCATCAGAACACCACAACATTTAAAGAAAACACCCAGATAAACGTATGTGATGATTGAATAAAATTTGTTCAAATCACCACACTGTCCTTATTTAAACTAAATAAATACATTTATCTGAAGGAATGCTTCCTAAGTGAATGGTTATGAACTTTGTCAAGCTCACCAATCAGTAAACCTGTAATAACCAGAGGGATAAACACCTTAGGTTTCAATGAGGTGATTATTGGTAGATAAGGCAAAATGGCAGCTAATCATGGATCTTTGGAGACACAGCCCTACAATAATAGCGCTTGGGTAATCATCACAATCAAATTTATTATCATAAGTGATATATTAACCAAACTCATCACAAAAGACACAAACGAATAAAAGGTAGATATTTTCTAATATTACTTAATATATGAAGGATTACTTGCAAATAGAAAATCGAAAAAGCTCGTGGATTGGCATTATAGTTTTACTTTACTTCTATGGTGCAGCATAACTGAGATGGATTTAATTCTGGACAGGCCTCGTAAAATCCTGACTTTTGCTAAAAACGTTTAATCTATACAAAAGACTTAAATATCATATCTGCAACAACTCTGCGATCTATGTTTAGGATTGCATCGCTAAATATCATTGCCAAGGTTTGACTTGATAATTTCAAGTAAATTGAGCACTAGGTAGATTGTTTGTGATAACAAGATAATATATTTGCAATATTCTAGTGGGTAGAAGATTCAGTTTTTGTAGTTTGCATTAAGTATTATACTTTGGTACTCTTTACTATTTAAACTTATATTAATTTAATTTAGGTATTTATTTGTTCTCGGATGAAGCGAATTACACTAAACTTTGGAAAGTCAGAAACTCAACTCTCCACTGATTGGGATATTTCAAATACATTATTTGTTTTCGTAACTTATCGATTTTAAGAGTATTGACGTAATTCAGTTTCTCTGTGATATCGTGCCCATAGAACCTAAAAGCACCAATTTCGACCTAATGCCATAGTTAGAGTGTACTTTTAACTAGCCCCAGGTTAGAATAAACATTTGTACGTTGTTCTCTGGTTTGCAATGGTTCCTAGCTGGCGTCATTTGATGATGAAAACTCCGAAAAGATATGACTATTAGGAAAAGCAGCCAGTTGAATCATTCTAAGTAACATTGGAGACCATTGAAAGAACAACACTTGATAAACAACAAATGAATAGTTTATTTACATTTAGTTACAGAATGTCAGATATAGTGAAGTATAGTACAGTAGTCAGTAAATGAATGAACAAAACACATTTACAAATCACATTGAATGTACAATCGTGTAAGGATGTAAGATGAAGACGAAGATTGTAAAAAGTAAAATTGTTTGAAAGAGTTACCGATGTACTTATATGATATACTTACATTAGTACAAACTACTGCTACAGTGTAAACTTGTCCATTTCCTTAACATGAAGATTCTTATTTAATTATGCTTAATAGTCTACGGATCAGTGATTCTAGGAACATCAGATATGTCAAGCAGTTTTCGAAACATATTAGTGAAGAAAAATGCTTCGAAGATAGAAGTTTATACATTCTGGTTGGTGATGTTATGAGTAATTTTGTTAGTGAAGGCATTCTAAAATTCCTGAAGTTCTGAGAATGCTGACTGGGACTTCAAGTACACACTTACACAAAACTTATTTCACTTCTAAACCCCACTTAACACTTTTCCGTAATTTCATTTTGTATTCCCCATCATTTACAGAACTACTTTTAATAGTAGGTCAATTCTTCCGATCACTTGGACCTGACTAGAGAATACGTTTGTTAATTTCCTTTACTTGATATTAGTTGTTACTTTGAAAGCATATTTCGTCCGTCTGAGGTTTACGAAATTGAAAGTCATATTTGGAAGTTCTTATACCCCATCACTATCTCAATATTACGTATTAATGCCAAACCTTTAACTACATTCTATAGCTCGTATTAGCTCAGAAGACATTAATTCTGTATTCTAGAATTGGACCACTGTATTATTTTTGTTTCCTATCGGTTATTTTTGAGAGATAAAACTTGCTTGTTAGTGTTATAGGGGATAGCGGTAACAATAGAAGTTGCAGAATTATTGTTGACAATAGTTAATTTCGGTATGTGAACCTTGTTTCCAGTATGTAGTTTTATTGATAAACTTTGTCTACTTTATTAAGGGGAACCCACAGCAAGATATTTTCAGTGACGAGATAAAGGTAAGAATTTCCCTGTCATAATAGCTGTCATAGAAAAATATCAAGATGCATGGAAGTCAGTTGGTTAGCACATATTTTGTTCACTTTTTTGTTTAGTGTATCAATTTTGTGTTAGTATACCCTAATACTGATGAAATTTTTATGGGATATTTTGTTAGTGTTTTTGTTATCAATTTCACTAAATTTCAGTCCAACCCAATAATCAAATCTGTGTTCTTGTGGTCAACTTTGAACCAGACTTTGGATTCGGACGTCTTATATGTCACCGAATCAGTGAAATAAAACTAGGATTGCTTTAACTTAGGATCCAAACTCTCCCATCTCTATAGAGTTAAATAAATTAAGAATTTGTGGTTTATCCCAACAGCCACATTTTATGTGAAGGTGGGTGCTACTTCCTAAATAGAGCTGGAGCTTTCAATGTAACGGTTGAGTTAAATGACTTAATGATTAGTCCACTGTGTCCTGAATATAAGTATGATAGATTCATCATATTTGATGTTCACAAGTTTCTGTTGATTAATGATTGACTTTAGTTGCGAACCGAAAGGTCAACTGTGATAATTTTTTTCAGAGGAACAATTAGTGAGTTATCTGCTGCTTTCCAACTTATTGGTATTTGTGGATTTACTAGTTTGGAGATAGCTTCCATGATACCACCGTCTGTTGGTAAGCTAGCGAAAAACAAAGTAGCAACAGTGTTTTAATATCCTGTTTATGAAATATTCAGAGGTTCCGATATTGAATCACTCACTAACAGGAGCCTATGGGATTTACAAATTGTATTGTGCTTCGTGTTGCCGATGCCTTGAATCAAAATTTAATGACTGATATTTTTCATAACGCGGTCAATTTTAGATATCTAATAAAAAAATCAAATATCGTCTATAAGCATTTATCCTCATTCTGGTTTGATTTACCGACGATTGATATTTTTGACTTGAATCTCGGAAACTTCGTGTTGAAACAAGTTACAAATAAATTCTAGGTATTTATTCAAGTGTAGAATGGGAAAGAACAAATGTAAACATAGTTTTCGCAATAAAATGTTTATTTTAAATTAACGACTTTTTTTCATCTTGGTCTCAGGCTCTTGAACTCCGCAGACATAATAAAGCAAATTAGCCTTTGAGTTCGTCTTGTATTCGATAATGGTTTGTGTTGAAATCAATCATTCTTTGTGGGATTTATTACATTTTTAGTAGACTTTAATTCGTAATCTTTGTCAAGTAAGGTGTGAATTTTATTCAAATCAACATATACTTTTTATTTAAACTTTGTCTTAATTGCCATCAAATAACGTAATAACAAGGTGGGACCAGAAGCAAACGTACTCATAGATAATAATTCCTCAGAAAAAAGTAGTAGAGGGAATTTCGACTAGATGTATTAAGTAAAAAAATACTTGTCTAGCCTCTTAGTAAAATTATAACGAGTATCTTTAATCTATCTCAGGTAATTTTCAATTCGATTCATATGTGTTATTGTTTACTTTACAAACCCAGAAAATGGTGAAAAAGTAAGCCCACCCAAGTGGTGTGATTTGTTCGCTCAATAAAGGTGTACATTCATATGCACCACAACGTTTTAAATTTTTTTCTATTCTCGTAATAAGATTTGAATCGAAGTAATGATTGTATAACCTGCATACCGAGGACAGGTTTATGTACTGTGCCTTAAGCCACGTTTTTTGTGTGAGGATTAGTGATACTATCCGATTCACCAAACCTGGATTTAAGCTATATGATCTAACCATGAAGTCATTGCTTCACATCTAATCTACGAAGAAAAGTAGATATTAGGAATGTTTGTATCTGACTGTAGTTGTGTATTTTTCGAGTTATTTACCATTATATAAATGGACGTGTAAACTTACTATAGTGTTCTATCTTTTTCAATCGCTTAACCAACTGCGTGTTATTATCAGTCTTGTTTTCCAGATTTCATGGTTATTATTAATTAACTAATTATTATTAGTGGTTACACTCACTACTAATGCTAATAACTAGAAGCACGCTTTTGTCTTAGTTTTATGAATATTAACTACATGTTTAGATTTTTGTTATGTACTATTTTTCGGTGTTTTTTTGTGTGTATGTGGTTATCACCAGATGCACACTTTCATCGTGTTAATTTCCACTTGTTCACTTATTTGTGTCATTATAGGTGTTGGTTTTTTATACTATCCAGTTAGTTAATCTAATTAAAATACTGTTATCGTTATATTTTCACTTTTAGTCTTCTATCAGCCATTATATCATGCCTCCGAATACTGAACAAACACCAGGAAATATACATCGAGATGATAAGCGTAACATGGTACATCCGCTTGTAGAAGAAGTTGATGGATTAGAACTCGCTCGTTTGGCTAGACGATTATGGGACCATAAAAAAACCAAATATGGTAAATCTGTTGGTTCTATTGAAAAGGCTGGGAACAAGTCCTATTCAAAGTCGACACCGCTCGGACGTCCCACTGTTTTAAGACTGCGTTCTACTCCACAGACTGCTTTACCCGATATGGATAAGTCTTCAGTGTCAAGTCAGTTGTATTTACATCATTCATATTACTTTTGGTACTAATCTTAAACACTTTTTATTATTGTTCGTCAATGTGTTTTTTGCCTTCAACTATGTGGTTAAGAGTTAGGGTTAACTCAACATGTCGTATGACAGGGGGAGACAAATATAGCAACGTAGAACTCTGCATAAAAGTATATCTTTACCATTTGTTATGATTCATAGCATCATGAAAGGACAAGACAGAAAGGTATGACGTGAATGAGTTTGAGCTATTGCGATCTACTTGAAATCACGTCACAATTAGTTTATTCATAAGTCGGTATTTCTTTCTAATCTTACTACCCTTAACTTAAACTATGGCTAAAACCATTATTATGAAACCACTGAAAAATATGTGCGTATTCTTTCTACTTTTAATAAAACATTTAGTGAACATTTTAGTGCAACTTGTATTCATAATAATAATAATAATAATAATAATAATAATAATAATAATAATAATAATAATAATCTTTTCTACTCTAACAAAATTATGGAAGCAAATCATTGCTCGGTAAATAAGGTGGGAAGTCCTAGGACCTCAGTATCAAGATTTGTACATTTTTTTATTTGAAAATACAAACGAGAAGATATAACGAGGATTTACCATTATTTGCTTTTGGTGTAGGTATATACTACTCACTGTCACAAAATGAAAGTTTAATTAAACATATTTTAATAATTAGAGTAAATCTATCAACCGAGTCCTACCAAAATAAAATAAAATACCTAGCTCAAGTGGTAATTCAGTTATCGTATTATTAGGAACTGAGGTTGGGTAAAAAATGGATAACTCCTTGAAATGGCACTAACGTTTAAACTACTTCCAGATGGAAGCTCTGAGTTCTGTTGTTTAATAGACAAAGCTTCCTCCGTAATTCTTATTTTTATGTAGTTTTATTTGGTCAGTCATTGATTCATTGTATTCGTTGCATGCTGAATTAGAGCATACTTACACCTGTTACCCCTCATAGAGGAGCATAGGCCGCTTACCAGCATTCTCCATCCAACTCTGTCCTGGGCAATCTTTTCCAATTACTATTCATGTCTGCTTCCGATTCTCAACACAGTGTGCTTTTTAACCTTCCTCTTTTCCGTTTCCCTTCAGAATTCCAAGTTAGTGCTTGCTTCGTGATGCAGTCCGATGATTTCCTCAATGTGTTTCCCATCCACTTCCATCGTCTTTTCCTAATATCCTCTTCAATTGCAAGCTGGTTTGTTGCCTCCTTAAGTAGGTTGTTGCTGATGGTATTCGGCCAACGGACATTGAGTTTCTTACGTAGACAATTGTTTATAAATACTTGTACATTTTCGATGGTGGTTCTTGTAGTTCTCCACGTTTCATCTCCGTACAGTGGGACTGTTTTGAAGATTCTGACTTTGATATTGGTCGACAGTTGTTTTGTGTTCCATATTTTCCTTAGTTGTAGGAATGCTCCCCTTGCTTTACTAATCCTCGCCTTTATGTCTACATCAGATCCTCCTTGTTAATCGATTATGCTGATCAGATACGTGAGTTTCCACCTCTTCCCGAGTTTCTCTATCAAGTGTGATTGGGTTGGTGTTTCCGTGTTGTATTACGGGATTTTGCTTTTCCCTTGTGTATGTTGAGGCCTGCTGATGCAGACGCTGCTGATACACCGTTTGTCTTGACCTGTAGTTGTTCGTGTGTGTAGGATAGAAGAGATAGGTCGTCTGCAAAGTCCAAATCGACCGGTCGCATCCGAGCTGTCCATTTTATTTCGTGTTTCCCCTCAGATGTGGATGTCTTTATAATTTAGTCAACCACGAGAAGAAAGAGAATGGCGGAGTTAGCAGTATTGTTTGACACTGATCCTCACTTAGAATACATCTGTGAGTCGTCCTCCATGCACCTTTTCGCAGTATAGTCTGTCGTATGAGTTCCGGATGATGTTGACGATATTCTCAGGTAAACCATAGTGTAGAAGAAGTTTCCATGATGTTCTAATCGCACTGTCGAATGCTTTCTCATATGGATTCGAGTATAAATAATTCTAAATAACTTTTAAGTTTCAATACAACGAATACTCCATTTATATATGACATAGTGTTATATATTTAGTTGTACCATAGTAATCTAAATACATAAAGGACTCAAGAAGTTCTTATGGACATCTTTGATGAATTTTAATACTTATGTAACAGTGGTATATTCGTGACCAAAGAACAAGATATATATTACTATCCTAGATGTTCATCAGGACTAAGTAGTTTTTCTGAATAAGGAAGTATGACATTTTGTTAACTATTCATATTTAGGCTTCAAAACGGTTTTGTAGCATTCAGAAAACAAAACGACTTTCGTACCAAGTAGCTTTTTGTGGTCACATACTTGTGAAACTGTGGTTCGTCATGGATTGCGCTCCCACTTCGCTTACAAGGGTTCGGAAAGCAGGTGATATAAATGACCCATCTGACTTCATTATATTCCAAAAAAGTGATATGATATTATTACAATTGATCTTCATGTAGTTTACCAATATTCAAACCATGAAGATTTAATGAATTTGTAGGTATCATTACCAAGGTTTGACTTGATAATTTCGAATAAATTGGGCATTAGGTAGATTGTTATAAATAAATAATATGTTTGTAATATTCCAATGAGTAGAAAAACTAGATTTTCTGACGTTTCGTGACTTAGTGTAGGCCACTTCTTTAGAGAATAAATAACCAAATCCAGGATTTATTTATCATGAAGATTTAGGTCATCGACATGGTTATGTCCATTTGAGTGTTTCTTAGTATTTGCCTTGATACGACGAGTTTCTAGAATAAAGGAGTCTAATGAAAGGTTTGTATTCCTAGCTTTATTTATTTCTAAATTAGTCCGTAATGATAATCATTTGCCATAACATTTGACAATTTGAATCTAAGATTAAACTTGTAGTTTTTTTTATCAAATGTCATACTAACGTTGGTTCTACGTCAAATTTATCACCATCTTAATCGTTATTGTCGCATTGTACAGTTTTATTGAGATCAATGATAAACTAATTAAAATAAATCTTGATGGACCATTTATAATTAAAGCTGTCCATTATCTTTATTAAAAAATACTCAACATAAGAATAACATGTCTATCCTAATACTCATTAGGAATAAACGGTCACTTTATTTTAAAGCTTCACGAAAATTTTTGTCTAAACTGATATTGAAATCTTGCTAAGAATACTGTCCAAGGCACTTAATATCAAGGCATCTACATTTATTAATTTTCCATTACATGTTTACCATCCTGAGAGTAGTAGATAAAGCAATGGTTACTAACTCAAAGACGTAAAATGTGTATAAAACATAAAATACTTAATTATCAACTTTTAAAAGTGAAGGTAAATGCATAGAATTCACTATTATATATATACTTTACCCTCACTGTATATATCTTATCTTGTTCTTCCAGTTTCTTTTCATGCTAGAACCTAAAAAGGGCAACATCCATCTTAGTTCTTGCACATGTAAAGATGAATTATCAGCGATTAAGTCTTCTGGTTTTTTACAAGTTAAATTTGCTTGTAAAGTACATTTACACTTAAAAATGTGAGGGACAGTATCGACAGTATATACCAATAGCCAATGTATATAGATCGGTTTTGATATGCATCTGTTGCACAAAGCTTTAGTGGATGCCGTAAGACTAACCATTTTCAAATCCCCGTCCCTGAAAATGATTGTCACTCAAGGAAAAGTGTTTTACTAACGTTCTTTTCTGGCACAGTTAGCATTGTAAATTTATTTTTAAACTTTTCACTGTTCAGCTATGTATGCAACGATATAACTTGATTATTAATTTTTTTACTCCTGGCGACCTTTCATATGAGAAATCAAACCACCTAGGTAGTTTAGTTCGACTACGTTCACACGATAGGTAAGCAAAATCAATGTCAAGTTAAAGGATTTTCATAGAAAGATTTTATACTACGGAAAATTATCTCACAATTAGAAACTCTTAATGTTACTCTATATAAATTTTTGTCTATTTGATTCTAACTCTTTTACCTTATTTTATCCTGTTATTGCTATGAAGCGTATTTGCTAGGTTCACAGTGCATAAAAATAGCGGCATATATATATATATATATATATATATATATATATATATATATATATATATATATGGTGCCCTTAGGAGGCCAGTAAAATCTGTGCTGGATATAGTTCCAAATAAGATTATTTATATATTTGTTTGTCATATGAAATGGTATCTGACGGGTGTTTTTGACTATTGATGACCTTCAGAAAATGTTTTAGTTATACATCTTATAGGAAAATATTTATTTTATCAATTATTAATGAGGTGCTTAATGTTAATCAGGTTTAGTGTGTGGACTAAAAAACGCTAGCACAGTTTTCTTTTGGCTTCGTAAAAATATGGTTTATTGTAAATGATAGAACCACCCAAAATGTCCTGGTGATTTAATGCACAATGAAGGTTTAAATCATTTCTCAACGGTCATTAAACAAATATTGTGTAAAGTGGTGGCTTTTTCTGAATTTGTTCTTGTGTTTGTTAATTGTAACAATAAAAATTTCCGCAATTTCGTTGTACTCAGTCGTTTTACAGCTATGAATTTGCGATTTTTAAAAAAATAATTGTTTCACTTAAATGTTATAAGATTAAGTTTGTGTATCTGAATTACTCAGGTTTCCTGACTTTCGAACACATCGTAAATGTTCGTATTTATAGGATACAAACAAATGAATCATCTACGTCTATTTTAACTAGTAAGGGTTTACATATTTTAACTTGTGAAACGTAACAGTGTTATAATATCAAAATACGCTCTATTCATGTCAACAGAGTTATTTATTGAACTAATAACGCAATAGATTCACCTTTTATTCAAAGGGTTATAATCATTGTGTGGTGTTGAATTTGATTTTTTCCATCGTCAATAATTAATACAGAGGTTCTTTCAAGAAACCAATTGAATGAGCATTATCTGTTTCACAAAAGTTATGGACCAAATAGTGTTTTAGGTGAGCTGTTATTGAAGACGAAAACCCATTATTGTACATTTCAAGACAAAACTAACAAGAAATTTACTAAAACCTATTGATTTTGGTTTCACTAGATGGTTTCCCATGTGACCCACTAAAGGTGTGCAGTTCGTAAAAGCATAACCTTTAATTCATTCCGAATTTCCTTCATCTAATTACATTGTTTCCCTAAAATTGTAATTTCAAAAGTACTGATACTCATCTGAAGAATAACTGAGGCTTACTGTATATGTTTGTTCAAGTTACAGAAATATTTTCGATAGCGGCACCTATGTTGTCTCATTTCTGCTCTACCATCACTTTTTCTTTAATAATTTTACTGTCTTTGTCAGTTTAATACGGATTTTATTTTTCCAGAATCGTGTCGATTTATAATTCTTACTTACAGATCTAATTGCCACAATTCGCTCTACTAAAAGAATAATAAAAATGTCATGCTATTTCTACACTTTTGTTTCCCTGTAGAATATTATGCAGTGTTTCTAATCATAGAAACTATCTGCTCTCTGTTTCTCAATCTTTTTGCAATGATTTGACACTTGTGTATTATTAATAATAGACTTTTAAATCTGTTGTGACTAAAACGATGATCGCTTAATTTTGGTAAGTAGTATTGCCGAAAAATATTCGCTTACCTTAATATAAAGTAGCTTGTTGGGTTGTAAAGTTCGAAGGTAACATATTACCTAACATCTCACTCCAGTACGTAGTATACCCAGGTAGGATAGGTTAGTCCATATAGTACATGGATTGTCATGTGTTGTATATTGAGATATAAAATATTCCTGTTTCGACCACAATGTAAACTGTTCAATCTCAGCCTTAAAAGGTGTGTATTTCCAAAAGCCTACAAGTTTATTAAACATAATAACCGAATAGACAAACTTGAAGTATGAAAACTCGTAACAGGATATATGCATGTGTTCCGATTCTTTTAGAAAGACAACATAGTCGTGAGTCAGTTACATTAAATCAAAGCATATAATAATGCTATATGAATTTATATAATATTCATGTATTAGACCACCGTTTTGCAACTGTGATATCATTTATTATACGGCCATCAGTTTTCATTACTTCCTACGAATGGGTTTCAATTTTTCCCGTGAAACTTATTTTGCCATACAATTTTTATTGGTTTCTCAGTAACTCTCTGTAAAGTAAAACATTTGTTACCCATTGTATGTTTCACGTTTCTTAGTTTCACATTGCTAGATATTACAAGGCTTCATTTTTTGCCTACTATTTCAATGTTATGAAACGGTGACTATGTTGGTTTTTATTGATGAAATTTCAAAATAACACAATGCTGGAATGAATTATATATTTATTCATTCGATTTAAACAACTAGTAATAATCAATCATACTATTTATACAGTTGCTGCTAATGCTGTTTTGTTACGTATCAGTTATGGATGACGTTCTAATGAAATGTAAGAGAAGTTTTCTACTTAAACTGATATGAGTAGGTAAAGGCAAAAAAAGGAATTTTTAAAATAAATCCTTCGTGTCTCAATTAATACATGAATTGTTAATAATGAATTTAAAGCATCACAGGGTCATTAAAATGTTGGAAAATTTCAATTTTGTATGTTAATATTTATATAACATCAAGATATAGCTATCAGTACAAGATATCCTAGTTGTAAATATCGCATTAGCCCACCTCCTTATTGGAGCAGTAGCATTTTTCTGTAAGTTGGAACTACAGATACCAAGATAATTATGAATCTGAATATGTGCAACCTCTTTAACGTTCAATAAAGGATTTCAAGAACATTCATCCCCAAGGTAGATCAACATTTAACCAGATTTATTATCCTGTTGGACTCAATAAATCTTACCTATCAGTTTTCTTATTTTCTTCGATTTGTACAAAAAAAGTCAGTTTTGAAGTGAATAACCATAATTAGTGCAAAGTAAGAGTGCTCGAAATCGTCTAGTCCCGTCACCAATCCGAAAATCACCATTTTTGGGAAATCTGATGAAGGGAGTCTACCGAACAGTACAAGGTAACTTTGTCATCAGATCAGACCAGTGAATATGTATTTAGTTGAGTAACAGTTAATTCTTCGACAAAAAATCATTTCATAAATAAAAAATGTTTTCTGTTTTATCTACATTGATGTTAAAAGATAAAGGACCTCGTTAAAATTGATTATTGGTGTGATTCGGCAAGTGGCGAACATACTTTCGCTTTTGCATCAAGATTTCATCAAGGACCAGTCTATCACTGTTAATATGACATCCAAAGCTCAACTATTTAACTTCGTACTCTTAAATTTGGCGCCAGTGTAGTACTATCGTAGATCATAGAGACATAAATTGCATGCTAATGTCATTTTCTGGTATTCAGGATTTATTTCTGGGTTATTTTATCTTGTATAGGTTTCGCAGTTGTATGTAATGTTTGAATATATAACATTCATTAGTCAATATCTACAATTTTTCCCGCTTCGCTGCAAGAATATTCCAGAATATTGATGCTTTCTAAAAATTAAGGGTACTTTCGTTATTCATCGTATTAGGAATAGTTAAGGTGAGACTATAATTTATGGACAACCTTTGAGCGACGTCAAAGTGACCTTGAGAGAGTGTCCACTTAATAACTAAGACCAAATGAGCGTTATAAGTCAGTGTGACGAATGAGAATTAGGATTTACTGTTGATGGTTAGGGTTAGGAATTAGATTTAGGGTTTTCATCACGAACTGACATAAGCTATAATGCCAAAACTCTATTTAAACAAATGGATGGGTGGATTTCTCGCCAAAATCCGAAACCTGTTATCTTATACCTGATTGGCTCGTCCATAAATTATAGTCTCGACACAATTAATTTTAACCTTGTTCAACAGTTATGATTTTTTGTAATCGAAATTTTATAGTCGAGATCTCTTATTATTATCATTCACGCTGATACCACTTGATTTTATCATCATGTTAAAGGTGGTAAAATCCTCAAAATTTACAATAGATAATGGTAATTAGTATAATTCATAAATGTTTAATTATCAATTTCCATGGTTTATAGTCAAAACCCACTTCCCTTATTAAGTGAATAAACTTCTATGAAAATTAGTTATTTATAAATATTCTAATCATAGCTGCATATCTGCTCAAAGTACAAAAGTCTTATTAATATTCGATTTAACAAGTGATACTTGTATGGATTAGTCAATAGTTCAAATTTCATGAGCGGAAAATTTCGGCATTGATGCAAATGCTATTTATTAGCTATGCTTAGTTTGCGTTGACTGATGTAATGTGTGGATAAGATATGTTTTATCATCCATTGGCGATGAGCCCAAGAAGAAATATTTCCGAAATGATATTATAGTTTCTTCTAAACTAATTTATAACTCATGAATAAGGGATGGTGTTGATTATGCACTATACTTTAACATTGGAAGTGAATGTTCGGTAACATTGCTATTTATTTTTAGTTGAACTACTGAATATATCCGTTGAAAATGCTAAACTTGATGTTTTTATTTATTCTACAAACATTTCATTTGAATTCTTTAAAAAATTTAATTTCGAAAAAAATAAATAACGTCAAAAGTTTTTTGTTGTTTTACCGTCGCCAAAATGTCGTACCTTCAGCTTTGTGCCATTCCTATTTGTCCATTATTCAGGCTAAGTGAAAATTGTACCCGTTTTGGTTAAGACATGTAAAATTATATTATAACGAATGTTACAGATCTAATCACTAAGGTTATCGATGGGAGCTGAGTCAGTCAGGGGCGGGCGAGATGGGCAGTGTGATGATTGGATAATGAATCATATTTTGTCAACCTGGATTTGATTTTCAGTAAGCTTCTTAGTTGTGTTTTTTTTGGGTGGTATTCATGACATCTAGACAAAACAACGTTGCTTTGTCTAGTATTTGAATCGGTTTTATGATGCTATCATTATCAATTACTAGAACAAAAACACTAATTACGACTTATTAGTAAAGCGATATGAACTATCAAATGGATTGTCCCTTTTGCAAACAAAAGCTTTCAGCAGGCAATAAATTCTCCCAAACATTTCCTTCTTACTTCGAAATATTGCTCTGATTTTGTGTTATGAACACTGGGCAGCTCGACTACTGATTTACATGCTGACTCAACCCATCTCACTTTTTTCACTAGAAACAAGATTATCTAGTTTGGTGTACCTAGATAATTGTGAGTTGGGTTTTCTTATTGTTAACTATACGTGTCCGTCGTATTGAAACTTTATCTGAGTAGAAAAATTGATTTGACAGTTCAGTAAACTGATAACTTTTTCATTCTAAAAGTATTATAATGTAACCACTGATGCGTAAAATCGTAACTTACCGCTAAGTTTTTGTAGTTTATGGTAACTCATTTAATTGGAACCATTAGTAGAGAATTTTATATTCGCTTGATTGCCTTTTTTTTAAAAGAAGAATTGTGTTATACTCAATAAACTACCTCTATACACAATTTTTATTTACTTACCACATAAATAGTTTCTGTTTTGTAATTAATTTTCAGTTGCTTGATACCAATAATAAACCCATATTTTTTGTTTATTATGTTTTATATCCTAATCATTCCTATTTGCTTTTAAAAATAACAATGCTTTGGGAAAACGTTAGAAGATATCCACTTTGAGTCACCCGATATGGATTCAGCCTTTGATTTAGCATGGGACCATGAAGTGGGTAAGTTGTATATATATATATATATATATATATATATATATATATATATATATATATATATATATATATATATATATATATATCCGTTCACACTATTAGGATTTTTCAGGCAGTAAGACACTGGTTTTCCAGAGGCTTGCGAGCGTCATGAGTCAGTTAATAAGTAAAATCGAGCTTTTACTATTGATAACTATAAATACAGTTTACTGACTAATTAATTGGATCTGTCTGTATTAGCTGCGTTTGTCTCAAGATGTCAATAAAAAATATCCAAGTGTATAATTTTCATGACTGCCTTATTATTCTCATTTTATTATTCGATTATTATCCTTAGGAATATGCATCAATTCGCCGCAAACCAGAACGACCAGTGAAAAGCAAGGAAGGCGAGGTAATCACCAACATTGAAGAGCAACAAAACAGGTGGGTAGAACACTTCAAAGAACTCTTGAATCGACCAGCTCCACTGAACCCACCCAACATCGAAGCAGCACCCACGGACCTCCCAATCAATGTTGGCCCACCAACAATTGAAGAAATCAGCATGGCCATCAGACAAATCAAGAGTGGCAAAGCAGCAGGACCGGACAACATCCCAGCAGAGGCACTAAAAGCAGACGTAGCGGCAACTGCAAGGATACTCCACATTCTCTTCAATAAGATTTGGGATGAGGAACAAGTACCAAAAGACTGGAAAGAAGGACTTCTGATCAAAATACCGAAGAAAGGCGATCTCAGCAACTGTGATAACTACAGGGGCATCACTCTTCTCTCAATACCGGGAAAAGTCTTCAACAGGGTATTGTTAAACAGGATGAAGGACTGCGTAGACGCCCAACTTCGTGACCAACAGGCAGGATTCCGTAAGGATAGATCGTGTACAGACCAAATCGCAACTCTACGGATCATTGTGGAACAATCAATTGAATGGAATTCATCACTCTACATCAACTTCATTGACTACGAAAAGGCATTTGATAGCGTGGACAGAACAACACTATGGAAACTTCTTCGACACTACGGCGTGCCTCAGAAGATAGTCAATATCATACAGAATTCATATGATGGATTACACTGCAAAATCGTGCATGGAGGACAGTTGACAAAGTCGTTCGAAGTGAAGACCGGTGTTAGGCAAGGTTGCTTACTCTCACCCTTTCTCTTTCTCCTGGTGATCGACTGGATCATGAAGACGTCAACGTCTGAAGGGAAGCGCGGGATACAATGGACATCTAAGATGCAGTTGGATGATCTAGACTTCGCAGACGATCTGGCCCTTCTATCCCAAACGCAACAACAGATGCAGGAGAAGACGACATGTGTGGCAGCAGCCTCAGCAGCAGTAGGTCTCAATATACACAAAGGGAAAAGCAGGATTCTCCGATACAACACAGAATGCACCAATCCAATCACAATTGACGGAGAAGATTTGGAAGATGTAAAAACCTTTACATATTTGGGCAGCATCATTGATGAACAGGGTGGATCTGATGCAGATGTGAAGGCGCGGATCGGCAAAGCAAGAGCAGCATATTTACAACTGAGGAACATCTGGAACTCAAAGCAACTGTCAACCAACACCAAGGTCAGGATTTTCAATACAAATGTCAAGACAGTTCTACTGTATGGGGCAGAAACCTGGAGAACTACGAAAGCCATCATCCAGAAAATACAGGTGTTTATTAACAATTGTCTACGCAAAATACTTCAGATCCGTTGGCCGGACACTATTAGCAACAACGTACTGTGGGAGAGAACAAACCAGATCCCAGCGGAGGAAGAAATCAGGAAGAAGCGCTGGAAGTGGATAGGACACACATTGAGGAAAGCACCCAACTGCGTCACAAGACAAGCCCTCACATGGAATCCTGAAGGCCAAAGGAAAAGAGGAAGACCAAAGAACACATTACGCCGAGAAATGGAAATAGACATGAGAAAAATGAACAAGAATTGGATGGAACTAGAAAAGAAGGCCCAGGACAGAGTGGGTTGGAGAATGCTGGTCAGCGGCCTATGCTCCATTGGGAGTAACAGGCGTAAGCTAGTTAAGTTAGTTAGTAACTTCTTTTTAAACAACCGATTTTTACTAATTCAATTTAGGTTAGTTGATACCATAAATATGCTAAACTTTACGTTCACTTATGATTTAGTCGACTGTTTTAGCCGTGTTCACCGTTTGGAAACAGACTAACTTGGCGCACTAATGGTAATTTTTATATTATGTTATATGTATGTGTATCGTACCCCATCTACACATTTTGCTTTGAAAATTTCAGACTTAAATATTTCCAATTGCGAATTGAGAAGACCATACAGTAAACATGTTCTACAATCTATTATTTCACATGAGTTCGATGGCGAAGGACACTGTAATCAATCTATGGCTCGCAATCGGTTTTTCGACTCAAAACAAAAATCACCAACAACACCAAACGTATATGATCCCCGTCCTAATCAAACTTCATCAGTTGCCATTCTCCCGGTACGAAATGACGATTTTCATCCCATTACAGACAACCGATGGGTGTCAAGTGATAGATTGCCTGGGAATGCACGTAGTGGTGTAAAAAAACCTGTACCATCGCAAACTACTATACCATGCTCCAACTTAGTCTTATCACCTACATCTAATAGTAGTAATGTTGACATAGAATACAATACTGGTAAAGTCACTCCTAGACTTGCATTTCCAGATAATCTATTTGATTCTGGGTTTGTTGGTGGCGGTGGCAGTAACATGATTAGCAGTTTTTCAGATTTCGATGACGTTGATGAAAATGTTATTGGTGTAGATGAAGGGGTACCAGTAGACAATTTGATCACCGACCTATCTACTGATCATTCAAGTGATTTTCTCTGGGAACATGAGTTATTCATTCCACAAAAATGTTATAAAGCAAAAGGTGTTCATTGTCCAACAACTGTATAATACTATTATTACTACTACTACTACTACCACCAACTTTACTTGTAACAACAATAATAATTGCAGTTATAATGTTTATTTTTAAAATAAAATTGAAACAAAACGACGAAACTTCACATGAATAAATTAGAAGAGGATTTCTTAAACTAAATTGATTATTTATCATAACTTTAATGTTCATTCAGAATATTTATTCTTCTTTTCGCTTTGTTTTTGATATCAATTTATTGTTGTTTTTGTCATTATATCGAATAATGAAGGTGTGAAAAATTAATTCTTACTCTGTATTGATTGATAAATTTCTCGCTTTTTAATTTCTTTCTTTGTTTTTTAAACAAAAAATGTTTCATCAAACCGGTTATTTTGTTTTCTTTTGATTTGCCACCCTAGCCAACAAATATAATCAGTTGTTCTATCGCTTCTCTCTTTTTCTATTTCATTTTGCTATTGTCGCATCTCTTTTTTCTCATCTCCTACATAAATCCTATTTACTTACCCTAGTCAAAACTATTTGCATTTGATTGACTTACTTGTGCTTTTGTTTACTTGAATGCCTTTTCTCGTGTCCACTGGTTGATCTTAAAACGAACTTTTATCATAAATTTAAAAATTACTTTGCTGATCTGTTTATGCTGTTCATTGATCCTTCACTTTCGTGGTTGAAGGATTTTGAATCTGTTCCCCCGCTGTTAATCTTCATGATTCTACAGCGAGCGTTGTGCATTTCTCCCTTAGCATTAAATTCAATGAAATTAGGGTAATTAATGACCTCTATATTTTGGTTTATTTCTTCTATTTTGTTGCTTTTTAATTTAGTCAATTTATATTAACAGATATAAATCACATATTTAATTATATTTGTCCTTGCCTCTATTCATAAATATATTTGTTATAAAGCATTTTCAACGTATAATTCCTTCAGTAGGCGATAAACAATCGTCGAGCTCAATCTAACTTAGCTTGTCCGATTACTTCGACGCAGTTCTGATGACAGTTATTTTTAACTTTAATAGTTTTAGTTATAATTGTCATTGCAACGTTGTATAAATACGTTTGTAATATTGTAAAATATGAGATAGCTACAAACTTCTTAGAAATGATATCTCCATATAAATTGTTTTCTTTCATGTTTGTTTATTGTAGTTTCTAATCTCTGGAAAATTCCCATCATATTAAAACACAATTATATGAACGAAGAATATTCTTTTCAGTATTTTCTTATCAAGTTCTACAATTATATACCCGTTTCGTCCTAGTATTGGACTCCTCGCGAGAGGCGTACACAGGACCAATCAGTCTCGCACGCGGGTGCTTAACGTCTAGACTACTTAGTCGGCATTCGACTGTTAATGTCTAACTTATTTATTTTGGATGCGAAGTTCTACCTTTTTTGATCCGAATAGCAATTTCTTCAGCCATTTACAGGATACTCAGTCTGACGGGATTAGATAGACTGCTGTTAGCACGATATATTATTGTGAAAGTGCTCCATGTTGGTTGTATGTCCCGTTTGAATTAAAGCTGAAATGGGGCTGTTAACAGTTTTAAGTACACCTTCGCTTAACCACACTGGGAGGTGCTCACAAGCCCGAATACACTAATTTCTAGAACATCTGCCAATATAACTTGCTCCACAGGAACAGTTGAATTAATAGATACAGAAAAAAGTGGCTAGTCTAGGCAATTTATTTTCAACCTCGAAAGTGATCATTGGATGTGCGGAAAGCATTAATTGTTGTTCACCTGCATTAAAAGTTCTTTGGATTGATTTGCATAACTTTAGTCATAGTATTTCACTAGGTGCATCGCCTCTGAATTGCGAGCCTATAAACAAAGGCATTCATTATACTCTCTTTTGTTAGCTATATGCTTATCTACGAATTTCTCCGGATGTCCGTTTTTTTTCAAGACCATGTACAATCACTTTCGTTTCGTCTTCTATAGTGAAGTGTCTCAATCAGGTATAATAGCTAGTCCAAGTAGTTTTCTTGTTTATGTTTCATCTTAGTGACCCATCGCTTCTCCTTGTAAGTAGAACATCTAGAAAGGCTGTTCTACTTCAATTTTCTTCCTCACATGTGAAATATGTCCAGCCGCTGCTTTTACCGTGGCCAACTTCAGGCCCACCTAGTTAATTTTATGATCTGGTGACGTAATTAGATTAATGCTCATTTTTATATCCTAAACTTATTTTATCCACATACCATTATCACACTTTCCAAACTTCCTGAGAAATTTATTCAGCATCCATCCCTATTTACTGATTCCTAACCAATTCGTATTATTCAACATATTATGTGATTTTCGATTTGTAATTACATTAAAAGACTAATATTTGATGACTGGCGACTGTTCTTATCGAAGATGAAACCAAGTTATTAGATCGAATACATGAAGATACATTTTTATTCAAGTAGTTGAAAACTATACTTCATCGCTCGGTTAGGAAATTGATGTAGTCGATCAGAAAGTTCATATGATAATAAGAAGTATTCGAATTAATGTACTAACTAGGAGTTCCCGAAATAGTGCAATTTAAGGCAGGTAGAATTGGATGAATATAAATGAACGTATTCATAATCAGAGGGCAATCAAGTACCAAGGAATCATTAGTTCATACAAATACCACAGTTAACCCTCAGTTCAGTCGAAAGCATAACTGTGATATCTAGATAAGCTGCTGTTTCAGGTATACATGCATCGATTATTTGCTAAAAGATGGCAAGTGCGATCTTGATGTCAAACGGTAGGCGGGTATATTGAAATAACACCCGATGAGTGTTGATAGTCAGAAGCTCTCTACAATCATCATCTACTTACACTTGCAGTTAGGAAAAGTTCATTTCAACGAAATGTGTTTTACCACTAAGCTTAGCAAATAGGTCTTCAGGAACTGGTAACGGATACTGACCGACTAGTTGAAGAGCAGCATATGGTACAGGACGTCTCGGACGAAAAAGGGTTTCCCTTCTGGTTTCACTGGTAAATGAGTTTTCATCTTGGCGCAGTGACCAAGGCTATTCTGAAAAACAGAAGCAAATTTTCTCATCTTTCTTAGTAGCCTTTCACCTGTCTTTTTCGCAAGTACTGGGGTGTGCAATGATGAACACGACACGTTGCAGACACTGTTAATGGGTATATCTTTTATTCCGAGTATTTCTAGCATATCTAGACCAAGAAAATCAACGTTTAGTCGTTCTGTTAGATAGCATATTCCTTTAGTTAGTTTCATTGAAGGAGAATTTAGACAGTAATTTGTCAACCAGTTTTAGCATTTCTCCTGATACGTTTTTAGCAGTATTCCTACATAAATTTGCAGATCTCTCACCATTTTCGTTCCTTTATCCCAGTCCGGGCTATCTTCATGCCCGGTGTTTGGATCTCCCATCAGGATTGGAGATATATATATTTATGTTCTAATCAGACTAATCATGTGTACTTGATCTATGTTGAAGCCCTGTAGAATATACACTGGAAGGGAATGTAGTGTACATATTCGTCTAAGGCAAATTAACTCTCCATTCGTGTAGACAAGGAAAACCGGTCGTTATAACAATAGAGTGAATTTTTATGGATTCATGTTACCTTCCACTTGAGTTTGTAACACAAATACAAAGAGAAATACATTATCTCCCATCATTTAGTGAGTAATTATTCAGATGTTTTCCAGTATAAGGTTTTGGAAACCTTACTTTGTGTCTATGCTTGCGCGAATCATAACATTTTATTTCATCTTGATGTGAATGTTCATAGAGCCTTGTGATAATTATTTTGGATTGGTAACTATACTACTGTGAAGAAATGATGTTACCATCACATCTACCCGTAGCTATCGTTCAAGACCCAAAATACCTATGAATAATATGCATTCATTTTTATTGATTTAATAAGGTAAACATTGTCAAAAATCAATCCCTGGTAACCGTTTGTTTCCTAAGGTGAATTACACGTAGGATTGTTTTTTTAAAATTACTGTCTTGTTGTAATGTTTCATTTTCGTGAATTATAGAGAATCCGGGTAAGGACGATGTATAAATGATAAAACGTGTTTATTCATAAAATACTCTGATTGTCGATGATATATATAAGATACTAATTTCTCACATAGTGAACCAACAAGAAACATCTTGTATTAATTTCGTAATTAAATTAATAATGAAACTCATTTGACAAGCACGTAAAAGTATGTATGTTGCTTATAGTTGCTCAAACTGAAATAATCACTAGTAAACAAATCGGGAGATTAGAGTCCATAATAATACGTAAATGTTAAACTCTAAAATCTGAAATATTTTGTCATGGTAAAAAGAACGAATGGTATGATCTAATTTTACTACCATTGTATTTTATCGGGAACTCTCATTTAGTGCTTCTGATGGTCGGTCTTTATTGTGAACCTGATATATAAAAATTCCTTGAAATAAGTCACTTTCTTGTTCTGAAAAGCTTCACAAATATATAGTGTATATACAGCTACCAATATAGTACAATTGTTATTTGAATACTAAATCTAGATAGAAGATTCAGATTGTGTAATAAGAAGACGAAGATTATTTCGAACAGTCTGATCACACATATATTTGTTAAGAACATTTATATGTAAAAATAAAAGGTCAACTAGACTAGAAATGGAGGGTGAGAGGAGACATGGATAACAAAGAAAACAATGTGAGGACAATTTGAAATCTCATCACTCTAGATAATAAGCTAAGTTAGGTTTAAGGTGAGAACAGACTGCTTTTGAATACACAAAGGGAGTTTGAGTTTTTGTATGGCTAAGGCTACAATAAACCTTAGTATACGCCCTTTTACACAACACCACAAAAGCCGAGTTAAGATCAATTTTATGACCTAAATTCACTTGGCATTGTTTGCTTGAATCTTCCCATTGATGTCTAGAACTGCAATTGATCAGTCTCTTATTGGCATATGTGCGTATTGCCTTAATTCGCAAGCATTCTAAGCAAAGATGGATAGTGGAATCCAGGACCCACGTTTCGTCCTATTTGGGACTCATCAGCTGGATGTACCTGCATTTCAGAGTTGATGTTCACTTTGGGACTCGAATTCAGTAGCGTTCGCTTCAAGCACCATCGCGTTATCCACTTAGCTAGAGTCCTGATAGCCACTCGTTTGTGCAATGGGGTGAAATTTAAATTCAATTGGTATTGTTTACTTGAATCTTCCCATCGTACAAGCAAGTGTCTATCAGGACTCAGTAGCTAAGTGGATAATGCAGTGGCGCTTAAAGTGAACGGTACTGCGTCCGGGTCCCAGGGTGAACATCAATTCTGAGATGCAGGTACACCCAGCTAACGAGTCCCAAATAGGACGGAACACGCCGCCTGGATCCCACTAATAGTCACTTTCCATCTTTGCTTGTTATGCAATTTTTTCATTCTCAAAAAACTTAATTCAACGGAACATAAACAATGATTACTACAAATTTATATCCTGTGCCAGTTTTACAACAAATAAACTGAAACTGATAATGTTAGTGAAATAAATACAGGCCGCCAATCGTATCGTCTAATATAAGCAAACGTTTTTTCTTCATATGAAACTAGTTTAATTGGGATCAAATGTCGCGCACCAGATGGTCAATAGGTTTTTTCATTGGTGTTACAAGTCTGTTTATGATTTCTTATATACTTATTTCGTCGGATAGTCTTGCCACCACGTATAGTGCAATATAATAAATCTTCCACCTGACAAGATATGCACAAATTTGACCTATTTTCTGGATTTTTAGATGAAATCTGTTAAATACAAATTAATTTTATAAAAATTTCATTTGATTTCGTTTGGGTGAATATAAAATACAAGCTGCTCCAGAATTGCATGAAAGACTTACATTCACGGAACAGTAAAAATAAATTTATGCTAAAATATGTTTAGTGTGAGGTAATTAGGGATAAAAATTCATTTCAACATTCTATGTAATGGGTCACCAAATCACAAATTTTCCACAAAAGTCGTTGTTCTTTTCATACGTTAATTATATGTAGACAGCCATTTAGAAAGTCGATCATTCAGTGGGATTCATATTTATTTCAGAAAAAAGATTATATTTTCATTTCTAGACTACTTGTTGTATGCACACAAATAATAAGAAAATCGGTAGTCTTCACTATCGTTTAGCATTGGTCGGAGCGTAGATTGGAAGTATAACAGTTTTATTCGAAACATTTCGTAATCAATGCTGGTAAACAACTTGATTTTTCCTCAATGTGTCAGAATCAGGACAAACGATATTATACATTTGTGATAAAATATACCTTAAGACCCTTATTTATAATTTGATTAATATTTCGAAGTTTGAATAAATAGTGAAATGCAACAAATGTGCATGAGCAGTGCTAATATTAAAATGATATACTATCAGAATATGATGGATTTGACGAGAATTTAGCTTAATAGTGATGCGATCACTTTTGATGCCATGCTAATAGAGTTCAACACTTTGAAAATAGTCTCGTTTATCTCTTACGAAGGATGTTAGTTTAGAAACCTTCAGTATTACTAGTTCGTATTTTGAGTGATAACATTATTTAAAGGTACTTCTCGACATATTGTTTAAGGATCCAAAGAAGTTGGATCAATACAAACATCTATCATGCGCTAACTAAACTATCAATGCTGTGGCTACATTGAGATGTGATCCTTAACAGAATGAAGCAATCAAACTTATGACACCATAACCCTATAGGACAATCAAACTGCAGTGCTTTCAATACGAGAGCAGTTACCTAACTAAATTTTATCAGCTTTGTAAACAATGAACTACTTAGAACAGGGAACTTAACAGACTAGACACGAGTCTGGTTTAGTTTTCTTCGGAGTGATAACTACTATTTGAAAACATATTTCAGCTTTTATGTACTCTTAATTGACTGCTGTAGAATACGGATAATCAAATAGATCAATAAATCACATGTTATATCGCGACTTATCAACGATTATATGATAAAATAAACTTCATGGTTAATTTTATATCCAAATCAAGGAAATTCCCTAATTAGTAAGTAGAAAATAAACGTTGATTCTAACATCAGTTTTTAGGTGTCATTATCAAGGTTTGATTTGATAATTTCGAATAAATTGAGCATTGGGTTGATTGTTATAAATAAAAATAATCTATTTGTAATATCCAATGAGTAGAAAATTGGATTTTCTGACGTTTCGTGACTTAGTGTAAGTCACTTCTTCAGAGCAAAAATAACCAAATTAAAATTAATCCAAGTTTAAATAGTACAACGGACTATTTAAACTTGGATTAATTTTAATTTGGTTATTTTTTCTCTGAAGAAGTGACTTACACTAAGTCACGAAACCTCAGAAAATCCAATTTTCTACTCATTGAGATATTACAAATAGATTATTTTTATTTATAACATCAGTTTTGTATAAAGAAGACATATTTAACTTGAATTTTTAGTGAGACTAGTCTAATAATACTGTATAAGCTAACTTACTGACAAACTCAGTCCGAGCCTTCACAATGAATGGTTTGGACAAAAATAAGCAGCAGTAACGGCCACAATCAAATGAATTATACCCAAGTATTCCAATTAGTTCCCCATTAAAAATAAACTCTATATTAAGAGCAACCTTGTATTTCTGGCTTTTTTTACCAGCTAGTCGACATGTAAGCTGGGTAGGTGTGTGTGAGCAAAATGAATGAAATAAACAGGTTGAGGAATAAACAATAATAAATAACGAGAAAACAACCAAACAAATACGAGGTTACAGATAAATTGTTGCAGGTAAGTTTTTTAAATATAATATTTTCAGTCATGGTTAATCTTCCAAATCAAATAATACTTAACAACAGAAAATACAAGAAACATAAAAGATCCGTTAGTGAACCTGTTTTGACCTTTTTTTGTAGGAAACAAAATAACAACAACGGGACAACAAGTAGACAAGCAGGCAAACAAATGTAACAGGTACACATAGCATCACCGAGAGAAGACTTCACACTGAAATCACTATTTTTATCGGCTTAGAGAGCAAACCAACATTTAATTAGAGAGGAACATTAAGGGAAAACAGACTCGGTTACAAATAGGCGCCTATAAAACAGAATATTATATTCAATGATTAAGACACCACTGTAGTGGTCGTCGAACAATATAAAGCATTGGATTTAGCTTACTGGCCGATTCTTTGTTACACATAAGTTTATTATAAACACAAGTACATACGTATAATTAGGGAAAGTGATGTTTTCCTTTGTAGTAACACAGTAAATGTGCAACTGTTTTTAGAATAAAATAATATATTCTTAGAATAAAGAAAAATATATAAAGGTCAAAAAACAGATGTATTGAATTTTTTTAAGTTTAATGGAAGCATACAGTAAAAACTGAATGTAGATATAAGAACAGAAATAAATATGTGAAGGTTTGTTAATTCAAACGAAAGTTGCTGACAAATTGACTAGGAAAGTTAAAATAGTATCACGAATACTGTCTCTTGTTGAACGCTGAACACTTATATCTTTAATTTATTTTGGTGGAAAAAAGTTCATGAACGTAACTCATGTACATTCGAACCTATATAAACCAAGAAAGTAAGACATAGAAATCCTAAATATCATAATTTCCACTGAAATAAATATAAGTAGTTAATTACTTTTATGGGGAAGATTATAGGATATTCATTATGACAGGTACAAATACAAAAGTTTAAGAATCTAAAAGACAAATAACAGAAACAAGATATAATAATTCGAAATAAATTATTTGTCCAGACCACAACGATGATCAAATAAATTAGGCTTGACAAACAATCGTACGGAAAAACTTAAAATTTTACCACGACGAAATAACGATAATGATAAATATTATTAAATTTAATAAGTACGAAGCAGTGAAAGACATGCATGCTTATTTGGAAAGCATAGTATGTAGCAATAATTGAAAGAAAAGCATAATAAAACAGACAATGTAGACATCAAAAATAAGTAATTTGAAGTGGAAGGAATCAAATGTACGAATAACATTTACGAAATTATAATCAGTCCGTACTATTCATAAGTTAATTGAAGATAAACATGGAGATTTGAACGCGAACATAAACAAAAATACAGAACACAAGAAAAGCATCACAGTCGATAACGAATAATGGTAAAAGTGTGGACTACGTAAACTGAAGATTTTTTGCATGGACTTTATTCTTTTTAAAACAAGCCATGGACAAAAAATCATGAGATAGTCCAGGTAGAATACTCAGGAAATAAAAAAAAACTAAATATCAAGTGAACTGAGATACGAAGAGGGGCAAAAAGTGAGAAGAGAATGAACGTAGATCATAAGTTGCAAAATGCGCACTAAAAGTAGCATAGATATTGTGTTTTCCCTGTTTGACAGGTAAGTAGATGTTATAGCCTGATAAGACAAGTATTCATAGGTTCAGTGATGTATTATACAAGTAATCGTTCGTGCACAAGTTCCAACAATCATTAACATTTGTAACAATAAACATAAAGTGGTATACCAATCAGAATTCTTTACATAGAAACAACTTAATATTTTTGTCTTGTGGGTAAGTGGTGGATCAGTGTTAACAGAAAGAAATCTCGTATTACTTGAGTATAAACTAACAACAAATGAGTAAAGTGGAATGTCAGCTATTTAATCGCACACTTAAAAATATCAGTGAATAAATAAGTTAAATCAACGAGGATATAAAGCAAGAATTTAATTGCACATACAAGTTAACCATTGAGATAAGTGAACATTTAACCGACTTAGTAACCAGATTTTGCATTATAAAATCGAATTGCAAAACTAATGTGCATATCGACATGAGCAAAGAAACGAAAAAATGAATAGGTTTATATTTTTAATCAGATAAACCTGGTTTTTATTGATTGGATAAATTGCATGTTGAAATTTTAAGAAAGAAAGAAAATACGCAAAAAGACAAACGGAATTGATTCAATATTAAAGCGTAAAATTTCTGATAGTATATGTATACATATACTTCCTTGTTTTAATATCTCTCATGATCTGAGCAATATTATTTTGATTCTAAAGTGGATAGTTGAAACTGGCTGATCCAGTTGTACTAATATTTGCGAATCCACCACCACCTGAGCCTGCTGATAAACAAGAACGATGTACATGCACATTCTGCCAGCCACGATCATTACGTCTTACCCAAACACGGGTTTCTTCTGTTTGTTGTGTATGGGGCATACCACATCTATTTATAGAAAATAGTAAAATATGGTTACAGAAAAAAGTTACTACTATATCGCTTAACGATGTTTTTAAGCTAAGAAAAATATGCAAGGATAACTCACTTATCTAGGAACTGAGTAAGTCTTGTGTAGGCAATACAAGCTGCATCTTCACCCATTAAATGTACAGTCGGGTTCAGTATGCTGGTATGAATAGCACGAACAACTGATTTCGGAATGACTAGAGAGAAAGTTGAGCAGTAAAATAAGCACTTAGTAATAATAGGATTATAAGGTTGATAAATTACTACGTAGTCTTCTTCACTAACGAAGTTTAAGGATTAGTCTGATTTAATTACATTTTGTGTTGGAATTTGTTCTCAAGAATAAAATTTAAATATATATTAAAACTGTTATCAAAAGGGTAACTTTATCCTAATTGAATCGAGGAATTTTGCTAGCCTATTCGTTTGTTACCCTCGGAATTTGATGCATGTATATGGCATTTAATGTCGGTTTTCACACACGTCTAACTTTAGAATATTATGAAAAGGAGTCAGTTGACGTTGTGAAACTTCTACTTTCCATACAACGTTGCTCCATTACAGCACAGCAAATAAATCGCTTGTTAAAAATCGTTATACGAAAAAATTGGTATTTCTGACAAAGAAAAACCACAGAGCTCATATGTTTACAAATATACGCTGGATCCCCAAAATAATCGTTTATGTTACTGACAAACGGAACTGTAAAACAAAATATGTATTCATTTTTTATTGTTTGTTTGGAACTTCACACTGATGTTTAGAGCTACAATTGATCAATCTATTATTGGCGTATGGGCACCCTGTGTGGATTGCATCAATATTGCCTTAAGTTACAAGCATTATGAGCAAACATGGATGGCGGATAGCAGTAGAATACAAATATGACGAAACGCGCATCCTGGATTTCACTGCAAGCCAACCATCCGTGTTTGCTCAGTCAGTCAGTCAGCTACAACGTAGGACCAGGCACATGTATGCATCGGCCCAGGTTGCCATACCTCAAATTATGTATGTTGAAGTGATAAAAAATTAGGATAATGATCTGAACTATTCACATGACAAACGAAAGCAACCACGGGACTTCAGCGAAGGTGGGTTAACTAAACACACTAACCTACATCGTCGAAGCATAAAAGTATAAGATACTGCAGAAAAATCGTATCATTAACGAAAGGAACTTACTTTGTTCAAAGTAAAACTTATGGAAATCAGCCCCTTCGAGTAAATTCCCACATGCTTCTGGACCGAAATAGGTGAATTGAGAATCCAAAAATTTACTGAAGCAAAAAGACAAGAAAAAAGAAATTTACAAACATTTATGCTTATAGTGCTTTACTTGAAAAAAAAAGAACAAAATAAAGAAAATAATGTAATATAAGCCCAGTTACCTAGGAGTAAATTTAGTGATATAAAGTAAAACGTCGGCTGTGTAAAATATTTTTTTTGACAAAGTAATTCCATTATGGGATTTGTTTAACTACAAATTAAAACCAGAGAAATGAGGATCTCGAATAATTGGTTTTACAACCAGTTTTATTACAATAGGTCATTTTACATATTTTTAAGGTTTTTACTAAACAACTACATTCTAGTGATTTTATGCAATACTAATTCCAAGCATTCATTTGATCCATCAATTGTTTTGATATTACTATGCTCTAAGGGTAAGAGCAACTATTTATAAGTATATGTTACTAATTATTGTAGCATAAATGTCTCAGTTGAATGGTTCTTACAAGTTCTGACCGACTATATGTTACAGCCTTATAATTCAGGAGTCAAAAATTAGAATCGATATTTTATGACTTATCTTGTTTTTTTACACAATCAAAATCGGTATGAAGTTAAGATGACAGATGTCAACAATTAGTGTTACACTGGTTGTAACACCGACGCAGTTGATGAGAATCCCATACGAAAATGAGAAGTGAAGTAAGAGACTTTTAATTTACAAGTATTTTCATTAAGTTATGCGAAGTGTAGCTATATGAATTCAAAATTTCTGAAAATTACCATGTGCTCACTAGTGACTAGCTTCGAGAGAGAATTTCCAGAGTCCTAGTGAGAATCTGTCACAAGTGAGGCTAGTCCGTGTCGGGTGTGAAGCAGTTACACACTGAAGACAATGTAAGATGATCGCGCAAGTATTGGACTGGTTGGGGTTAGGAAATAACACCATTGGATATCGACTCAGTGGTATTGAGGTTGAACGTTCGAATGCGAGAACAAAAGTCCTAGATCCAAGTCCCGCGTGAAGGATTGTGGATGCCCACTGATAGGTAGTCCCATACTAAGACGAGACGACTATTCAATGCTTCCAGGTTTCCGATGGTGGTTTAATTTTGAGTCATGAATTCAATGAAACTGAAACTTTTCGATAAGCTTATTGACTGAATACAGTGAATCAGATAATCTTATAAAACACGAAACTTACAGGTAGAGTTCGAAGTCACCAGCTGCAGCAGCAGCCAATAGTTGTTCTGTTGCCCGGATGATGTCCTGCTTTTTGCCTGTTTAACGAGAAAAGAATGAATAGAGAGGTTAACTAGGAATCTCGAACCATGATTTTACGTGTATCTACCTTGGGTCAGTGTACACAGTCTCCTAATATTGGTGAGGTTCTTCACTTCAAAAAAACGTGAACTGTTAGTCATCTAAACTAAAAAGTGTAAAACCTGTGCATGAACCTAAGTAACCACACGACATTACTTCAGCGAGAAAAACGAAGGAAAAATGGACAGCTATTGAGTCCACACACTGGCAACGTTATAGATACAAAGGAATAAATTAATAAAATATGATTTTAAAAGAAGGAATGAATTTACGGATCGCAAAGTATGGAACAATTCTGAGACATAAGACAAAGGATTAATTATAGTTGCCTCCCAACACTCACCAAGATTGTCGGGTAAATACTAGCCATTTGGTCTGGACTTAGCAACACACAACTCATACCTGTAGCCAAAAACGTTTTGGACTGTGTTAAGTCATACTACGGCGCCCCTTACCTTATATGAAACACTCCGGTCAAGGTTTTACGTTAAAGTAAGACGTGATTTAGTAAACGTAACGGATGACCCAGGGTTAGGATTTATCTTACTACGTACCAGATACTCCTAATACTGAATATTCATTGACAATATTTCAATCGACAAGCTACCCATATTAGAACACAGTTGAGCAGTAACGTAATTATATTCCAAATGAACATGGTTGAACGCAAGTCGGTATCACAACAAGAAAGACGTTAGTATATTCATAATTTCTACATAACACACCAAATCTTCTCCGAGTATCTACTAGCGCTGATTGGTCAAGAACTAGTGTGCCTCAGCAGTCCTGAACGGAAAGTGCCGCAATCTAATCTATATCCCGCTAACACCTAAGAAACTCAGTTGGTGAGGACTTACAGACACATTCAAAGGATTCTCCGTACTCACCAAATACCTTATATCTTATCTCGGAGTTCTCTACTAGGTTGTCTCAATGGTACGAAAACGTCCCAAAACTAGAGACATATGGGGCTCACTATTAGTAATAAATAAATTTATAGACATAAAAAAATTGTTAAAAAAGGATACTACAATACGTGGGTTACTTTTTACGGATAAAATTTATAATCAATTAATAATGGGACTAATTAAAACAGTTAAACCTTAGGGATATTGAATTAATAATGTTTGATGAGCAAAGACACACTAGGTGTTATAAACCTTACAAATCAGTAACTTAAACTTCAAAAGCATCAACTGAAACAAAGCTAAGCATGTATATAAATGTATATAAGACTACCAGGCAATCTTTTGAAAAAGTGTAACATTAGGAAAACAGCCAAAAAACAAATGGCCGGTGTATCAATCATGAAGTGGAAATGAAAGTGTTTGGTCGACTACAGATAAATTGGAATATTAATTAACTGGACGTGGTATGTATTAGGTAAGGCAGAAAAGCAACAATATTAAAATACAATACGAAACATAATGGATTTGTACATTTTAGCAAGCTGATCAGAACAATGAAAAAATACACACACACACGAAAAAAACTACGCACTTATTTATTCATATAAAAAATACTAGTGGAATATCGAAAGTCGGGTTATAAATCTTTATTGAGTCGGTAATGGACCATGCATATTTTCATAGACACAATGCAAAACTCTGGTACATTGAAAGTAGTAATTTCTAAGCTGGAAAGATCTATACTGACAGACAAATTTAACATCGAAATATAAATAGGTAGAAAACAGGCAAAAACAAAGAAGCAAGGCGTGGAGAACGGAAAGGAGAATTATGAAGCAAATGTATTCCTCAGTAATACTTACACACTCTTCTACATTCACGAACCGCAATACTTTTATATCATTCAGATAGATGTTTCACTGGGATACAATTGAGAGTATCCAAGATATTATGAGACAATAATCAAAAGAACAGAAAACATCAATCAAATCGACAAAAAGGGACGTGCACATTTAAAAGTAACCATATTATCTTTAAGTCTTTTAAGAAAAATGAGATGAACTCAGATTACATTTGAAAATTGTCCGTATAAATTCGATGTTTCATAGGGATGAAAAGAATTTCCACAGAAACTTAGAAAATGTCGAGGTAAATAGGAAAACGTATCAAGAAGTTATGATGGGTACATGAAATGCGGAGAAGTATTAAGATTAATAAAATGATTTGCAAAATACAAGTAAATCATCACAGCTTGTATTAACAGGTCAATTAAACATGTTCTATTGATATGAAGATTCCAATTAAGTATGGGGAAGTTACGAGTGAGGTGTGAAAGTTGTCGTAAAAAAGAATTAAAAACAGGAAGTTTCATCAGCTGCTCTTTATTGAGGGTTGTTAAAAGATTGTACACTGGGAATTTCGATGACGCAACAGTTGGAAAAGTATTTGTATTTTAGGTACGCGAATTTGGGAGAAATATATGTTAGACTAATTGTTATGTTTTGCTATTCGATTGAGTAACTATATAGGTTTCTAACGCCTAATCAGTTAGTCGTACACATTGAAAAGACTAAAGCTGTGCAGAATACATCATTATCAAAAGTTGAATAATAATGCTCTTAGGTTGTGGATATCAAGAGACTTGTTAAACTGACTGGAATATGTGGTAAGTGAACATAGAGAGCTTGATTATTTAATAAGCAAAATGCATACGATTGATTAAGGAGTTCATTATCTACGCTTGGGATGCTACTAGAAGTGAGTTAAGTAGAGCCTTTAACAACAATATTGAATGTTAGGTGTGAAACATGTGTAACTAATATACTAGGGATTATTAGAATTTGAGATTGCTGCATTCGGATTGTTAAATCATTACATATAAAACATTCTACAGTTAGTGAATCGCATAATAAACAAAACTGAGTAAATTTTAAATTCAAATAAAAATCATTCTAAGTGTATGAAAAGAATCGTTTTAGAGGAAGCATTTGCTTAACTGTAAACGTTAACACATAAGAAATGAAAATGACAGGAAAATTGTTTAAAAAAGTCTCTTTGATCTTTTGCATCATTATACTTTACGTAGTTCAACAACATGATTGAGTTAATACATTCTGCGAGTAGAAGGGAATAGTCTTTAAAACAGGGATTTTATTCAAATTTGATATGTACATAATTGGATGCCTGTTTAGTGGTTTAGTAGTTAACTGTTGACGGCGAGACCGAAAGTATTGGGCTCGATGTCATGAAAGTCCGCGGATACGCACCACTGAGTCTCATATTAGGACGAAACATCTGTTCAGTGTTTCGTAGTTCTACATGGTTTACTAACTAAGATTAGTACGTGATGTAAACTTTAAATTTATATTTGATTATCATCTCTTAAATCATTAAGACTGTTGAAACTATATTGAGTGAGTAATTAATATACTATACACCTAACAATCAAAGGTATTTATTTTAAGTCAATAAGTTACAGTTGGAAAGCAGACAAGTAAGATGCTTATTAGAGCTGGCACTAGGACAAACGGTGTAAAATTCCAGCCGAAAATTATATATAAAATTGAAGTAGAAATAATCTAGAGACAAAATCATGTATCTGTCTTAACTAATAGCTAATATGACAAACAAGGTGAATAGTAAGCATAGTTAGTAGAATTACAAATGATGAGACACAACTAAGAAATTAGAAAGAAGTGAGTAAATCAGATAATTTTACACTTCTACAAGTAATCGATTTCTAGAACAATAAAAACAAATATTAACGCTGATCTTTTTAAAAATGCCTTCAAAAACAAAAATTTTCTAAGTTTCTTACACAGAATAGTTATTTGGACTGAGAACAATTGAGATTTATTTAATTGAAATTTTTGAAAATCTAAATGTAATTCAAACATTAGATGATTTGATTTATTAAATCACATCACATTTACCGTTGATTATACATGAATTCATAAGCGATTCTCTAGTAACGTTAAATAATAAATATTATAGCAGGGTTTTTGTGCACATACAGACTCAATTTTCTGAATACAACCAAACAGTTACTTAATATGTAGTAATACATTTAGTTGCCTAAGTCGACTTGGTCAAAAGTAACAATAAGTGAATAAAATGAATCGATTTTATTTCACTGATTTCTTAAAAGGTACATCATGACATATAAATGAAGAACTACTAATCATTTAAGGACTTAGACTATATGCAGATGCTGGTAGATCAATGAAGTAAATATAAACAGTTTTGTATTTGGTGTTTTAAATATCTTGAACATACGAGGCTCAAATATCTATATACATAAAAGCCATCAACTTTACGTTTACCCATGAGTTTTATGGGATACGTGCTTATTATAATAAATTTACAGGTTGCATCAACAATATAAGTTTATTACTCTGAACGTGAATAAAATATTGTAACTATGAACCACCCATAAAAATGTGATTTTTCACTGCAACATGTACGGATTGATCAAACTAAAGTGAGAAGTGAATTACGAAAACTAATTAGCAATCTATATATAATCAACGGACTCCACAGGAAATGAAGGAAAGGACAGTTCACCAAAAGATGGAATAATGAGCAATACACTACTAATAACAATGATAAAATAATAATAAATACCAAACTTATCTTCGAATAATACCCACTAGTTCGTAATGCGAATACAAATAACGGTAAGTACACATCTCGATATGTTACTGCGGGAAAGCTGATACAAATGACAAAAACAAAACCGTGAGATGAACGAAAATTATCAAGTATCTTTTGTCAGTTATTATTTATCTTCTTAATACTATCTTTATTTAGCATAACCAGTTAAAAATCAACTTAGAATAACGAAGTCATATTTAAGTCTTATAAGGAAATCCAAAACATACTGGCTATACACTAAAAAAATGTTTTATTCTAAATATTAGAATCAAAAACTGATTGTAATTACCAATAATTTGACTTTTGAAAAAAATAGGGAAATGAAGGTGTCACATGATTAAAGAGATATTTTATGTGGGATACGCCGGCAAGAATGTTACTTCTATTTCACACAT